AAAAAAAAACAACATTAAATTACGTTTTGTCTGTACTAATACTGTCTCTTTTTCAGCTGGGGATTCAAGATATATTTTCTACAAATGCTAATCTGACTGGTATGGTTCAATGGGGAAGCCATAATTTTCATATTTCAAACATCTTTCACAAAGCTAAGATTGAAATTAATGAAGAAGGGACTGTAGCTGCTGCAGCCACAGGTAAATTGTTCACAAAGTCTACACTGCCACCATCTTAGATAATCAGTGTATTACTTTACACCTTATTTTTAACAAGCTCAAACCAGACCGTATGTGGCCCATGATCTCTATGGTTCATTAGTTTTGTCAACAATAAAATATACTCAAAAGTTACGTAGACAATTCCTGAATTATGAGTAGTAGTATCTACAACACAGCTGATTACAGTAATGACAGCATCACTTTTCTTTCAACAGGTACCCTGATTGTCCCTTTAATAAGTATGAGTCTACCAAAACTGATCTTCAACCACCCATTTCTGTTCTTCCTCCGAAACACTGAAACGGGGGACGTTCTGTTTGCCGGCCGCATGTCACAACCTGAAGCAGCCAGACAACCTGTTGTGGGATCACTAAGTGAATCCGAGCTGTCTGAACTAACTCAGAGCATTTTCACTTCAAAACCAGCCACAGGAGCAGAAGTCCCAGTCAGCAACACCAACCAAGCATCAGTTCCTGCTGGCGGTACATTCAACACCAACTCAAAACCCCCTGTCCCTCAAATACAACCTACCATCAGAAACCATTATTCATATCCAAATAATGTAAACAATGGAAATAACTTTCCTTCATCAGCTTCTTCCCAGACTTATCGAAGTTCTCTCCAACCACGTTCAGCAAATAACAACCCATCTCAATCAAACACTGCACAGTATAAACCATACGGCAACAGTGAAATATACCATGCTTCTAATCCTGACACAGTTGGCGTACAATATGCTCACGCTCCTGTACAGTTTTCATCAGTATCTGGAAGCTACGCATCCTCCACGAACAGTGCACAATATCCGTCAGACGTGAACAAAACCCCACAAACTGGTGTAAGAAACATAAATCAGAGCTACAACGACAGAATCCACTTCTCACCATAAGAACTGTACATTAAAATATTAGTGAGCATTAATTTTACTCCCATTTCAGAATCACATTTCACCTCTTTTTGCTTCATTATGTGATATAATGATTGGATCATTACTGTAATTTCAAAGCAGATGTGGGAAAATTTCTGTGCTGCAATGGATACCTGTTTTAGTAAATAACTGATATGCATGTGTTCTTATTTAAAAATAAACATTTAAATTTACACAGAATATTTAATATTCTCACTTTTCCCCTCAGGCTTCCTGACTAATACCCAATACACACCTCTTGCCCCATCCATGCGTGCCACATGCCCTGCCCATCTCATTCTTCTTGACTTATTCACCCTGACAATACTTGGGGAGGAGTAAGATAAAGACAACAAACATGATAAACTTAAAGTGGAAAAGACTGAAAGAAATGGGGACAGAATGGACAAAGAAAACTGACTGAAGGTGGCATGGACCTACAAGACAAAGCGAATAACGGCTGGAAAGAGGATTTTGTAGACAGTAGTACATACATAATGCCCCACTTAATGGTACCTGCATCTTGTCGTGGTGGTGGGGCTTGAGTACCTCAGTGACCCCAAGAGCTACTGGTAGGGCCTCCCTAGATTGGTCAAGGGGGAGAGGTCAGACTAAGACAGGTACCCTGGTCCTCCAGGTTGGGGGTTGGTCGCAAGGCTAACAACCTTGCACCGTAAAAAGAAAGATGTTTCGAAACCTCAATCAAAGCCTCGGACGGACGGACCTAACAGAGGACCGAATGGAAGAGGAGAATTGAGGAGGCCATGGACCGAACACGGACCGGAGAGCCATAGAAGAAGAAGAAGTACATACATAATGTCATATTTTTTAGAAAACAGTTCATCAATGAATGACACTTTGATAGTAGGGCCTACTATTTAAGAAGACCTCTACACAATCATTTTACATATTGATCTCCGCAGCAAATATAGAGAAATGTACAGGAAAGTTAATGTCCAACCAAATGATACCAGCCCTGACAATTCTATGGACATAACTGAAAGAATGATCAAGTGTAACAAGCCAAAAAAGTGACTTACAGCATTCTTCAGCACTCTCCGATCTTCACTACCTTACCAAGGAGGGAGATGTAAAGTATCTCAGTTCACCAGAAGCCATACTAAGGGACTTCTACATCAATAAAACAAGGTATGCCTGTAGTTGTATAATTGTTGATATTCCCTACCTTGTATGGTGACAGGTTCCACCAGCGCAGGCAGTTCAATACTGTCATCTCCATGCATGCACCATTCCGTCACGACAACTGGTTCATGGCCTGTTTTAGGTTTCTCATGAAGCAGCAGCCCATAAATGCGCTGCCTTAGTGGCCGAAGTGCCACAGCTGCTGGTGGTATATCTAATTCCCTGATGTCTTCCATAGGTGTACAAGATTCAAACATTTGCTCGTTCATCACAGCAAATACCTGATAAGGATTTTCACAGCAGACATGTCGTCTTCTTGCAAAAGACATCAGCTGGCTCCAATGATCTTTTGGCAAATCATCAACTGCTGAAACATCATTTTCATCAACATTTTATATCCCAAACATGAAGCAGGACTGCTATCACTAAGCCCCAATTTTTGACGAGCCCTCTGAAAAAAAAGCCTGATCTCACTAAGCTTAAAAAATTTATATCGCGTATACTACGTGGTGAATGCAAAAATTCCATTCTTTAATGACTTGTCACCTGCATGAGGTGTGGCAATATGAGAACAAACCTTGTTGAACTGGTTGATGTTGAGTGCAATAACTTCGAATGCTGGTATTCAATTTCTCTGCCTTGTCTTTGGATCCTAAAACTCTTTGGGCAATCGCAGGCATGGCCCGAAACATGTCCTGGCCACATGGCAGAGAACGCACAAACCTTGCCACATGCCTGAAGAGATCGTCAAAAGGAATACGACGGTTCATGTTATACTTTCTCCCACCTCGATAACGACAGATATCATAGTGGAATTCCTGTAAAGTGAACAAAGAACAGATTTTCTTCAGTTGCAATTTTTGAGATTTTCCATTCACAAATTTAACAATATGGTGCAGAATCTTCCTTAAGGAGCTAACAGTTATTCATCTGGTCAAATTCCTTGTTCTTGTTGAACTAGAACAGTGGTCCCCAATGCGGTGCCCGCGGGTGCCATGACGCCCGCCAAGGCTTTTTTTGGGCGCCCGCGTTGATACGGAAAGAGGTTATACTGAATAATGGAGGCTGTTCAACCATGAACATTATAAAATCAAACATCACACTAACTTCCCACTTGAGTAATAATAATTGTACTTATAAAACTACGTATCTTTGATTGCATGGTTTCTTGTATCATTAAACGTCGTGTTGTTTTGCGTATTATTTGGTGTTCATATCTTATTTGTCCAGAGAAAAGAAAATTTGGCTTTGTTAATTGGTTGGTGCCCGCCACGATCTCATAAACTCTCAAATGTGCCCGTAGGCACAAAAAGGTTGGGGACCACTTAACTAGAAGATATATCACTGCGATCACAAATATTCTAAGCTCAAGCATTTGAATAAATTTCATATCCTCAAAGTCTACTTGCACTCACAAACTCAATAAATTAATATGCATTTATGGAATGAAATTTTGTAGGAAAGAACCTATAACAAGTAAAAACAGCAATAAAGAATAAAATACTACAAATCGATACTTTTAAGTTACCTTGAATGATCAGTCATATAAAATTGGAAAATGTATAGAAGCTTAAATATTTTGATTATTTAAAATGATGCATTCCCACAAAATGCTGATCAGCGGTAGCTAGCAATCCAAATTTTCACTAATAAGAAGACATCAAATCTCATATAAATCAAACTGTACCTTCAGTTCGCTGGCACGGACTATGTCATTGCCAATCACCGAAGCGAGGAGAGGCAGCTTAGCTGGAGATATCGCCAGATCTCGAGCCAGGGCCCAGCGATTGTAATACAATGTAGTCATAGTTGACAGGTTCAGTTTTGATATAGACAAGTAATACTCTGCTCCTTCATGAATAATATAGTCTGTGTCTTCACCGAGGATTGCAAAGCACTGCTTGTCACGTGCATATTCTGCTACCTCTTCATCACATTCACGTATCGATGAATAAACCTGGAAGCAATAAAGAATTCTAGAACCATATTTGATATGAGCTCAAAATCTGAAATTTAAAGTAAATGTTGGTGTCGGTTCTCATGCAATGTTAGCATCAGTAAATACTATCAAAGGCAGGGCTGAAAAGAATTCTGAAAATATTGTAGCATGACAAATATTTTGGTCACCAGAGAAACATGCATTTTACAAGGAATTAGGGCATGAAGAAAATTTGAAACATTGTGTCTAGTCTGTCGAGTGAAAAGAAAATACTTTGGATGCCCCTATTCTGGACAGTATCAGATGGTGGCTCTTAGACCTCATTTAATAAAACTGCATCTACATCCCCAAACACCAGTTCCTGAATATCAAATAGAAAATTAGCTGCCAGCCGAAATTTTCAGGTGGAAGCTGGCAATCAGATGCCCAGATGAGCCCTGCGCTCAGGTTACAGATGGCAAGATGAGGCAGAAATGTGACAAATTAAAGATGGGATGATAGAGGAAGCAGAGGGATAAAAAGTATGATACTCTAACCTATGAAGTAAACAATTCTAGTGTATAGTTTTTTGTCAATGTAAATAATACATTGTTCAAATACTGATGTAGCATAACTGTTCAGAATTTGAGCAATACAAAGAACATCTATATACAATTAATTATCACAAAATGCAGCTGAGCAAATAGCTAGAGTATACGAGTTTTCACTTGGACATTTGCAACAGACTAACTAACACATCCAACTAATGTTAAGGCTAAGAAACTTAAAACTAAATTACATAACAAGCAGGTTTGTAAATTTGTTTCATTATCTGTGGGGATCCCCTTCACATCAAAATACGGCATGAATATGTGGAATGGATTTAAATGGCCCAGGAAAAGATACTATGGTGAGTTTTTAGGTGCCCATTGCACTTTAGCATACGCAAAGAACATCTTATGCACCTGTCCATGTTTATCTGTCTGTCTACCACATGCCATCACACTGTTTGACCTTCTTGAGCAGGTAAGTGACTACCAACAACTCAAGAAAGATCTGTACTGTTGAGCTAATTAATCAGATAGTACAAACAATAGTCACCTCACAATTACACAGTTCTTTTAAAATGTAACGTGTTCCTAATCCAGCAGGCATTTGGAACAGACTCAGATCAACAGATGACAATTTTCTCCATTTATTGAGACAGTCATATATTTTAAATACATCTTGGAGGTATTTCAGTCTTCTCTCAATCCATACTGGCCTTTTCCTTTCAACTGTGCTTCCATCAAAGAAGAAAACAAGCTTTGCTCCTAAAGACTCAAAAGCTTTTACGAATGTCACTAATTTATCTGCAAACTCCTTTAACTGGCCACCCAGTATCCAATCCAATGGCCCATACAGATGGCGTATACATGATGAACCATCCACCACAATTACTGGTTGTCTTCCTGTGGCCTTTCTATAAGAAAAAAGATATATTAACATCAATTAATTAGACAGGACTAATGTAACAAATTTTTGAATTTGTGATTCTCATAGCTGCAAATATTAAGAAGGCTGTCTTCTGGGTTGTATGCCACATTGTCTGGTAGAAGTTTACAAACATTTCAGAGCTACTTGCTACCTCTGCCAACAGGGCACTCACTGCCCTATGAAATCTTTGAAACTCTGGTAAATGCCTACCAGACTGCATGGCACTACAACCCAAAAGACAGTCATTTTCAAATTCCCATAAATTGGGTCTAGTACACATAATCAAAAAATATTTTGTGGTTAAAGTTTACAATAAAGTTCAGGCCACACACACCATTCTAATAACATTTTCAGTTTTCACAGTGCTGCTTTACGGCCAGGTTTCGTTTGCTATTACTAAGTTAGGTTACATCAAATTAACTTAGATTGGTTTGGGGGTAAAAGCCAATCTCTGCACGCTCACCCATAATCTCAACAACTAGTTCTATTACACTGACAACTTTGTGGTAACTTTCTTTCAAAGCCGTGATTGCTACACATCTTGCTGAAAATAATATAGATTCAAATTTTAAGGTGACTGGTTTCCTGTCATTTCCCCTGTTACTTTGTACCCAAAACTAACCTGTACGAGTTGATTAAACCCGTAATCCTGACCTCATAGCAAGCATCAGGACAATAGTTTGTCATGTATGTCTGTAGACCTATAACTCCCATTATTTAACCAATATGCAACTCAAAGATTTACATAAAGGACGTGAAACTTAAATCGGTACGAACAAAACAATCAAGAAGGTAAGTAATGGCGGAGTCCTGCGCAAGCGCAATACATCATCCCTCGCTATGTAACACCATTTCTGCATATGAAACGCTTGGCTGGATATGGTAACAGAACCTTATAAATAAAACGGGAATTTGCTTACGCTAAGAGCTTTGTCGTGGCGGAAGCCTTGATTATTCAAACTAGGGTCTGTTGCTGCTGATGAGAGGTTATCCTGTCATACAACATGTCCTTCGTGCGAACTGAAGGTGAATATAGCTTATCTTGGCTCATTATTTCACGTGCTGAGAAATATGTATTCTTTATTCTAAATAAAATACATGAAGTCCCAAACTTACAGAAGAAGGAAAAAGCATTAATTACAGACAGTGCTATTTTAAACACTTGTATTTAAAACCACGACAGTTCACAATAAATCGATACTTTTCTCAGCGAAATTAAAATACGATTCCATCTGGCGGCATGCATTGATACTGTAAGGTATTAGTGTCAGTTGGGTTGCCTACAAGCACAGGAATTCAAATTTTTATTACAGATGGAAATTCCTTTTTACCAAGAACTCAATACACCTCTTGTGAAGCTAATAGTCACTAAACCACTCGAGAAAATCCCTACATTACATAAAACCTATAAATTCATAACGGTGTTCAGAAGAGTACGCAAATAGACTATATGAATTCAGTCTGAAGTTGATTTGCACAAGTCTCTCTTTTAATTCTATCACTAATGGGCCAATGATATTACGTTACTACTGCATAAGAAATGCATTATGATCAACAGAACCTGACATTCTAGTCACACAGTTGTACAGCGATAATCCATTCATAATACGGCCATGAATAACGGATAATGTACCGGTGTTCAGCAACTGACAGTAAGATTCGATTATTATAAGAACATTTATATATATTAATTCCCTAGCTTCACTATACATCCAAAAAATTCCAACAGGCACATGTGATACAAAGCGTAGTTTCATTAGCGTGCGTAAGTTACTTTCGTATCAATTTTCAATCCGTATTCTTGAGAGAGAGATTTTCCTGTAAGGAATAGTTTCCGCCCAATTTAGGTTCTGTTTTACTTCTGTTAATAGCACGTACGAAGCTGGGACTTGAAGCCAATCATTACACAACAAAACATGTAATACTGCATGACGGATCATCTGGTAAATTCTTTTTAAACCTGCTCAGACTAGTTACTTACAATCTTTGTCTGTTCCTGCTGCTAAAGAAACGGTTCAATGGCCAGCCAAAGCACCTCTCCTTCATTTTGCTACGCTTATATATTATAGAAAAAAAGTTTCTGTGTATTAATCACTCAGTATGGAAAGGGCTCGTTATCTTTATTATCAGTGAAATATAAATACGAATTTCAGACGTCAAGCTGCAGTTATTACGAAACAATTACATTCAAATTTTTAGTATCTGACGATGTATTCTCAGATGTGTTGGTAATGATGCTTTTTGCATGCCAGACGTCCATCAACACTGCCAGAAGAACGACGGTCATGGCCGAATGGTCGGCGCCAGAAGACGATTACAAGAACACAGAATAAATAAACTCGGAGTGCTTCAACAGCCAGAATAGCTAATTTCCAATCTTAGGTGGTTACTTTTCCTCTACGGCAAACCACTTACAGGTCAGCAAAACTTTTAAAGCTGAAGGCCACTAGCTGCTTCATACAGTGTGTTCGTTTATTTCAGAGGTTCTGTGTGGAAACGAAGTGTTTTAGTATGGAAAATGTAAACGTATCACAAGGTTACTTAGTCCGTTGTGTTCATAAGATTTCTCCATTGGTCCCTATGCTACACCCGATAAATTCGTTCACACCGTAATATCTTTATTTCAGATCAATTATACATTATCCTATTTACGCCTATGTAGCCGTCCCTTTATTTCAGGGTTGTACGAAGAAAACTATAAACACAGTATTAAAAATATATTAAAATTGGCCGTCAATCACAATATAAGATAATTAAAAGATTAATATATTTTTAATACTTATAAATCACAATATGACGCATCTACAATATCTTATAAACACAGTGTTTTCAGGCACTACATGTATAACAATACATACGCACACACACACACACAGAGCTTTACGACTTGATGTGCCGTGAGAAAATATATTTTAGTACGCCGCTACGTGGAAAATGTTGAGAAGTATTGACTTCAGCTAGTCCTAGTGTAAGATTTAAAGTTCTCATGGTGGTACAAATGTAGAAGCTGGTATTCTGGCTTACAACACCATGTAGCTACGTATAGATAAATACCATTGTTTCGGACGAATACACTGCCTCTGTCTTGAGGTAGTTACATATAATTGTTTGCACAAAGGTTATATTAAGTGACAGTAGACTGTTAATAGTCCATCGACATTAGATTGAAGTGAGTGGTAAGATTAAAGCTCCGGCCGCGTTAACCCCCGGTACTAGACAGAAGTAGGAGAGCTGGTCTATTGCGATGGTGAAGTGAAATTTGCCAGCCTGTGTCAGGTCACTTCTTACACTCAGCTATCCTGGCATCAAGGAATGTGAATTTAACATTCATAATTAGCTTGGTACCCATTTAATCCGGAGATTATAATATCCGATTAAATGGGTTCTTTGCTATTTCACTGACCTCCATGTTCATTTGTTTCAGGCATAAATTCATTATCAAAAGGCTGATCGGTATGTAGATTTCACGCTGCATGGTATCGGGAAATATGGTTCACCGAAGTTCCTTAACATTCAGATATTTCAAATAAAATACGTATTTCTTAACGAGATCTGTATTTTATTCAATGCACTAACTCTTAAAACTCTTCAACAAATGCTATTAGGGTGATAAAATGGAGGATGGGATAGGCAGGGCATTTAGCACGCATGGGAGAGATGAGCAAAATCGGTAGAGTGTGACGTGAGTTTCGAACGACCTGTATTAGCACAGCAATACATGGAAGGCAGCTTTCTGGGTACCATCATGAAACTGGATGTGACACTGGAGTCCGGGTGAATGCCCGAATTACTGACTAGATAAGTAGATGGTCAGGTCGTCGTGTTTAAAGTAGCGGAGAAGGCGGGGCTTGACGTAGGGACCCGAGAAATTGAGCCCTGGGGGGCCCGCATATAACGACACGGCAGAGCCACTACCTCGCTCACACAAGAACCTGACGACAACCCTGAAACAGCGCGGGCAATGGGAACTGCAGTTACAGGTAAGAGAATGGCTGCCAAGAATCCACCCACACATGAGCATGTCATGCCAGCAGGGCTTCGAATGTTAAATTCATTTGAGAACATGAAATAATCATTAACCCTTTCAATGCTACTATCGAGATCCTTCAATCACTTCTGTTCTGGACACACATGGAGAGAAAGGAAGGTAATGTTTCTGAGTAAAACTTTGCATGCAAAGTGAACTATGGGTATTAAAAGTATGGTTTCGAATCATAGACGAGTACTGGTAGAAACAGTGGTTAAGTATCTGTTAGATTGTTGTGTTCATATTAGTATCAGACAGGAAAGAACATATCCTCAAAGTGACACGTTTTAATATTTTTCATAATTTAATACAAATATAATAGTAACTTTTCATGCCGATAACCATGGTGCTTGAGACAATTTATAACCAGGTCCGCGAAATTATTTATTAATTTTTAATGGTTAATATAAGCTTTTATTTTATTTACTCAGGATAATTTGAAAAAGTCGCGATTATTACCATGTCTGCTTCTATTGACTTAAAAATCTATCGCAAAATTTAAGTTTTTCATGCAAAATTGTCAAATACAAGCCGTTGCAGGAGCAATTTTAAAACAATATGTACCTCTATAGTCATAAGTGTACATTTCGATACAATTTATAATTGAACACACAATGTGGCAATCTGCAGTTTCTGAACAAGTGTTTTTAAAGAGGGCCTTTGGTCCAACGGGAGAATTATTCTTAGCTCGACAAATGTAAAATATCTGACATCCCTGATATAGGCTATATAAGAAAGCACTTCTATCCTGAAGATAGAATTGATATATTCCTCCGAAACATTGATAACCTTCAACAAGGACTTAGGAACCACAACCCAGAATACCGCATATTGGATGTTTACACCGCCGTAAAACTGTTTGTTATACGACACCAAGTGGATTCCAGCGAAAACGAATCCGTAAGCTCCATTGACGTCAAATGTGTGCTGTAATGAGTAGGAATGCAAGTGATGGTAATGCATGAAAGGAAGGTCATGGTGTTGGCAGTGCTGGAGGTAACGGCCCCACGATACTGCGGGTCAATTGAGGGCGTTTACATGGCAACCCGTTTTCTTGCCCTCGCTTCGTTATTAAAACGCGTCGATTCCGCGGCGGAAACTTCGCGGTCCGCATAGAAAGAGTTCTAGAAACTCATTCGTCCGCTCGTATATGACGAGTAAAAAGACCGAGGTCGTCGACTAAAAACTATTTTATTTTTTTAGCAATTCTGAATAATTCTGAACATGGTTCGTTGCATTGTGTCAAATTTCTCTTCTAGACTATGTCCATAGTCTAAATTACAAAATTATAACGTTTTGAAATCAGGGATGTTCTTTCGTCAACAAGTAAAGAAATGGGATCACACAAAAACCTCAACCAGGGGGCCCAACAGACAGGTCTTTTCTAAATTTTATCCTGATGACAAAAGCGGAATCGAGCTTTCGAAACGTCGTAATCTATTCTTTTATTTTTGACAATGCAAAAAAATTCAAAATAGCAATAACACAGTAAATTTGTAACTGTCTTCGGCATGAACGCGTGTGTTGGAACGACACCGACGTTTTCCAACATTCCAGCTGGAATTTTCCAACATTCCAGATTGGAGCGAAATACTATACAATTCACCGGCTGGTTTTTTTAAAAGGCCTAGAGCCTTTAAGATGACTTTCTTCTGGGATACACAACGTCGTATAACCTGGTAGAAATTTAAAGACGTATCAGAGGTATCTGACGTCTGCATCAACAGGATCGGGCCTTGATGATGGAGGCAGCAAACACCTCTGAAACGCTGCTAAACTTCCACCAGGTTATATGGCGAAACATCCCAGCAGACAGCCATCTTCGTACTCAACGCCGTGATAAATTAAAACCCAGCTTACAGCCTTCTTTGCTCTCGACTGCTAGTGACTAACCTGTCCACTGTGAATCTCAGATGTAGTCAGTTGTTTCTGAACAGATGTTCATTACGGTTTATCTTGTGAAGGAAGATTTTTTTGCCTGACTGAAGAATTGAGTCAGTGCGTGTTGTTTAATGAGAATCACGTTCAATTACTATGTCACGTGTTGGCCAACTTCTACATCCACTCCACCAATTACCAGCACCAAAAATTTATTTTAGTGATACGTATATTTTGTAAAGCACTGTCCGGATTTATCTCACCATCGCTTCCTCAAAGCAGCCCATCAATTTTACTGCTAATACAGGAAAGAGATATTAAAAAAAGTGTACTTACGCCTTTCTACAGGAATATTGGCAGCGTTGCTGCTAACCTCCACCCTCGCACTACCCCCCAAGAGGTTACGTCGCAACACGGCAGCAGATACAAGTAATTTTGTTGGAGAAGGAACAAATGATCTGGCTACAGCAATTTTGCAGGTTCTGTACCTTTAGTGTCACTTCAGGAAACAAAATATAATGTACACAACACGCAAGTATCGGTTGGCTGCTTTGGTAATTTGCTGTTAATAGATTTTGGGTCTCATGTGTGTGGTATAACCATTGCTATGGTAACACTATTAGGGGACTTTGGACCTTATGGGATAATATTTATGAGATATAGACCAGGTTTCACACCCACACAAAACAAAGTTAAAATTATAGTTTTTAGATAACAGACGAGAAGCCAAAATATTATAAACTTATGGTAGCAACTATTTTTATAGTTTAGTCTGCTCCTAATTTCCTCGTAAATGAAATTCTGATTTGTTAACGTCGTTTCAAAAAACTTCGCCACATTTTCAAAGGATTTATTTGCTTCCTTTATATTGTGGTTTTGTTCTGTTGTCTGGTGACGAGACACAAGCAAATAATTGATTTTAAACAAATATACACTGTTATTTGCAATACTATTTTCACTATAAAACAGGTTAGAATGAGCTGGACATGTGAGTCGCATGGAGGAGACAAAAATGCAAGCAAAAATGTTTTTGGCGTAAAGTCTTAAAAATTAATCACTTGAAAGAATAACAATTAATGTGGATCTTCACAGATACATCTCAAATCTAGGAGGAGTTCGGCAACTATTTCAAGATAGTGTTCAGTTGCAGACTTTGGTATTAGCGAAGTTGGAACTGAGGGTTTTTTATACAGGAAATTCGTTAATTATAATTTGGGTATTAGCGAAGTTGGAACTGAGGGTTATTTCTACAGGAAATTCGTTAATTATAATTTATTTGTGTGCATTTATCAGGGGTACGTGGATACGGAGTCGAACCTGGCCTTCTCGCCCTTAGGATACGCAGCTCTGCTCGCTATCATGGCAGAGGGCGCGCGTGGAGATACGAAGGAACAGCTTGACAACGCCCTCCATCTCCCTAAGGACCCTCAGGTTACTAGAATCGCCTACAACACCGTACTGAAGCGTCTCAAAGTAAGCAGCGATATTTGATTTTAGTAGGAATTTAACTAAAATGTTCAACAAAAATCAACTGACCTTGCTTACCCCTTGGTAACTTTAATAAAGGAGCGGTTAAAAATCATTTTCCTACAGCAGTCTGATTCCCGGCAGGGGTACAAATTTATTATTTTCGCTACAATTATCTAAGACTGAGATGGGTTTTCTTAGTTCTGTTAAATTTCCTCAAAATGTACAACTTGATTATACTTTAATATTTGTTATGTCGAGCAGGTTAAGGACTCGGTAAACCATCCTGAGTTTCGGAACTGGTTCTACGTGTACAAGAACTTTACCGTAGAATCTGATTACAAGACCATCATTCAGGAGAACTATCTTACGGAACTTAAGGATGTGGACCGTGATGACTCGGTGGTTCCCGAAAAGTTGACAAATGATTCAATGACACCCGAAAATTCGGCGGCTGATTCAATGATTCCGGAAAAGTCGGTAGATGAATCAGTAATCCCTGAAAAGTTAGAAGGTTCCAGCGTGTCTGAAACAACAGAGGTAACAGTGGTATCAGATAAAACTACTGACGATGATAACATTACAGAGAAAATAGAAGATCCAATGCCCAGCGCTGAGTCAGAGGAAATTATGCAAGTTTCTGATGGGGAAGACCTCGCAGAGCCAAGTAAAAATGGCCCACTGAAGATAGTATTTCCGATTCCTTTCCCAGAAAAACTGAAGTTAAGGAAGATGTACGATGATAGGGAAGCCAGCTCTTCTGGGGCAGTTATGACAATGCAAGAAGAAATGTTGGGAAACAAAGGGGAGGAAGAGAAGGCCACTTCAGAGAAGAAAAGTGAGAAGACGGAAGAAATAAAGGATGACAAGACTGAAGCTGAAAACAAAGATAAAATAAAGGAGACAGAGTCGATGAATGAAGAAATGGAAATTCCAAATGATGAAATGAAAGAAGGAGATGGCGTGGGAATAAAAAATGATCAAATTAAGGAAGATAATACGATGGAGGTTATGAAAGAAGAGACAAAAGATAAGATGGAAGGAATGAAAGATGATAAAACTGAAGCAATGAAAGACGATAAACTACAGGCAATGAAGGACAAAGAAATGGAATCAATGAAAGTTGAAAACGTGGAAGAAATGAAGGAAGAAATGATATCAGATAAAGAGAAGGAAAACGACAAGAAAGGTTCGATGTCTGACGGAATCACAGATGAAATAACAAAGGACAATATTAAGACGGAAGAGGTTGTGATGGAAGACAAAGATAAAAAGAACGAAGATATGATTACCGGGGTTATGATGAAGGAGGAGATGAAGGTGGATACTGAGAAGGATACTACGTCGTCAATGGGTCGGAAGGCCAGGCATCTCGATTTGCGTCGGCTGAGTCGAGGATATCTTCAGACTGATGACGTCTCATCCAGTCTTTCCGGCAACAACATCGTTAGAAAAGACACCAAAAGTAAGTGCATTTCCAAATCAGTTTCCGTGACCTTGAAAAGGAAATTATAGCCTTTAATTTGACATGAAGTAAGTCAGTGACACGAACCGGTTACTCCAAGAATTTACTGCCACACCGAAGTGTTCGGGAAGAATTCTAGAAAACTGTTACTGTGCGTATTACAGTTAAGCGATTGTAACCAACATGCCAACCTGTTCTAGGCGAGACGATCTCTGAGATGGTAGTGTTCAACGGCCTGTTTTTCAAGGGAACTTGGACGACGCCATTCGTGCGCCAGAAAGAGGATTCCTTCTATAAGTCAGCCAGCGAAAAGAGCACAGTAACCATGATGAACACAAAGGGCAACTTTAGCGCGGGCAATGTGCCCGAGTTGGACAGCGTCGCCATCGAATTGCCCTATAAGGTACACAACATTCTTTTATAACAGATAACACAAAAAATGAGATCTGAGTTTCTAAAGGCGGTGAAAATTTCCGTTTTGAGGGGCGGGGGGTTGTAACCCAGTGTGGACTTGTAGATAGACACCAACAATTCGGAGGAACATACTGCCGCCACAATTCTGTGCATACCTCCGAAACGACAGTGTCTACCTACAAATCCACGCGGCGTTACATCGCAGAAGACCAACATCGACGGGTAAAATTATAGTTCAATTTAAAGTGCTGTATTAAAACGTGCCTTCACTTCTTTTGTTACAGGGTGGCCGATATTCTCTCCTTATTCTCATCCCCAACTCCAGGACAGGTCTCAGTCAACTAACCTCAGACCTCGCTGGCTATTCCTTGAAGAACGTGCAGAAACACCTACAATTCCAGGAGGTCGAAGTGAGCCTGCCTACCTTCGAGATACAAACCATAACCAAACCAATCGAAGCACTGAAAAAGGTCTGTGTTGTTTGGCAGACAGCGTATTAGTAAATTAAATGAAATTTCGTTGATTTAACGTGCTGCGATAAAGAATTATGACATAATACATATTTCGTCTGTCCGCAAGCATTCATTCCAAACTTTGTAGGAGCAAAATTAAGTTTCCAGAGGAATTCACGAAGATTATTTTCAATTCAGATGCTTCAGTCCTATACTGAGGCTAGAATAAATGATAAATTATCAATTATAAGACTTAGTGATATATTTCTGTGTATAATTCTTACTAGTGCAGATTCAAACCATGATATATTCGACAGATATAACAAAAATGTATATATGTATATTTTACTATTGATAACTTTCAATTTTGGTGAACATGGATGATAATAACGAGCATATCTTATGGAAACCTGTATGGATTTTGGAGCGCGTGAGATAAGGGGTTGAGAATCACCAGGCAATCTTGGTTACCTAGGGAATCCCCAGAAAGATGAGCAACGTGTGGGAATCCTTCGTGATGACCTCATCACCCATTAAGGCTGTCTCCATACACTCTACCAACCTAAAGACCAGTGAATCCGGCCACTTCTGAGGTCAATGACGCCATTCGAAAAGGTCAAATGTCAATTTCTGGCCACAGCATCATTTTGTTATAAGCACAATTCCTAGCTTATTTGCCCCCAAAACTATTTAATTAATTTCGATTAAACTTCGTATTAGTTGTCTATACGAAAACACCGAGGGCAAATTTCGCTTTACTTCTCATCGGTACAGTTTGCGTTTTCTCAAAAAGACTGATTTTACGAAAAAATTATTAAATAGTGTAAAGACTGTTAATAGTAATCTCGATCTGCGTTACAGTTTGGAGTGACCGATGTCTTCAGCAAGGAAAAAGCTGATCTGTCCGGAATATCCAAGGACTCTGGCCTGTTTGTCGGGGAACTTGTCCAACAGGTTACTGTCAAAGTGGATAATGGCAGTAGCGACTATAATTACATTACAGGTGAGAACTCCGAACCCAATGCCTTGTACTCGAAGTTTTAGAATGTATTACATAACAACAAATTTATTACATCCGTATCTCTTTAAGAGATATAAGGCAAGCAAGAACTACAAAGCGATAATTATACAATATAGAGACTCATTTCCCGGTATAACTGACTGTGCTTATGTTAAATTAGTAATATTTCCACAGTTCCCACGTTTATGATCCATTGATTAATTCATATATCCCCAGCTCTAATAGTTCATTAGACATTACGCCGAAAACAAAATTTACTTAAATATAGATTTAAGAGCAATCACATGTTGTTGTTATACATTATATAAACGAAACCGAAGTGAGGAAAGTTACAAAAATATTTGTTCAACACCAAATATCAGAATCCTAAAATAAATGACGTTAGTGTCATCCCCACCACACATTTTTCATGGCTGTCATAAATATCAGAATCCTAAAATAAATGACGCTAGTGTCATCCCCACCACAAATTTTTCATGGCTGTCACATTGGTATTACTGACGATAGGAAACCACGAAGTATAAATGTACGGTGGCATGAAGTGTGGTAATATTCAAGATGAATTCAATTAAAATCCATCAAATATCTCAAAAAGCTATTCGACATATGACGCATATTGTAATGATTCATAAGCATGCCTTCCTTTGTAAGATACGGTTATAAATTACGCGCACAGATCGACTCAGGGACCCAGGGTCCCTTCCCGTAGGGATAACGCGATCGAAGCGTGAATCTGACCACTCACTTATTTTCAGTTCCTAAGTTAATAACGCGTGGTGTGTTAATATATACACCTAACAATTCATAAAATCCATAATATCCTTGTCCAGCAAGAAACATGAATGTTCTTAATGCATATTTGCATTTCGATTTATACTTTCAGCGGAGAGTATCTCTACCCGATCGGAAGTGTTTAAGATCGCAGCCGATCGTCCATTCCTCTACTTCGTCCGGGACACTGAGGGCAACCTGATTGTTGTTGCTGGTAAAGTCACCGACCCGTCGCGTCCAATTGCGGACCCTTGAAGAATAACGAAGAGCAAAATGGTTTTGGGTGGGGTGGGGTGGGGGGGACGAACGTGATAATGTTTTGTTGAACTCTCTAACACCCTTATTGCTCCATCACACTCTGTCCCCTTCCAGACATCAAAATCACTCAACTACAGAACATGAGCTGGAACAAGTTTACCTTTTCTGGAGAACATATAAATCTTAAGAGACAATAATTTTTAAAAAAAGAAACTAAATCTGCTATTGTTCGTCTGAGGTTTGACGCCGTGTAGTCTCATAGGCAGATATTAACGTTTCGGAGAGACATATTGTCTCCATCTTCAGGGATAAAAATACGTCGGTATCTACCTACGAGTCTGTACAGCGTGAAAACCCAGAACAACATCGTCTTCATCACAGCTGTGAAAATATCGAATCTTACAAGTGAATCTGTGTCCGTCCAAGTCTCTAATATTACATTTGTGTCTACTGAAATTCTAATACAGAGTGTAACTTTCTTTGAAGTCTGTGATCCATGAAGTCAACAACAATCTTACACAACAAAGATGGAATAATCGCTAGAATATCGCAGACTGACAGCGGAGACATAACCTGGCCGTCCAGATATTCCATTAATCTTATTTTAAGTGCATAAAGCTTAAGTTAATAAACCACAAAATCTACGACTTTCGTAAAAACGGTTACATTTCAGGAACACAATATACGAAACAAAAGAAATTTTGAAGGCGAATTAGTTAAGTTAGTTTATAAGCAAATGCAGTCGTTCGAAAACAAATTACGCTAAACGTGGGTGTATTTAACGATTTCGTAATACATCTACCATTCCCCATTCCACAGTCAGTCCAATGAAGTTAATCATGACGAGTACGACCATGGCAATCAATACTCATGAGTTTCCAAGTACAAATATTTGTTTAAAAATTCATAATTTAGAAATTAAGTTTACTCTATAAAAACTGACAACATGTGCATACGGAATTTTGGTGGGGAATCCTTCTGGAAAACGATCACTGGGCAGACCAAGAAGGATATCATCAAAATGGATCTTAGGGAGGTGGGCTGTGAGGATGGCAAATGGATGGAGTTGGCTCAGGATCATGTCCTGTGGAGAGCTTCGGTGTTGGACCTGCGGATTCTGCTACCAGGGAGTTAGTATTTTTTTATAAAAACTGAATTCGTATCAGAGCACACATACAAGATTTAAAATGTTTTATCAATCGGATTAAACTTATTTTAATTAGTCAAATAGGAGTTCGTAGTTTTGCAATTTAATATTTAACGCACTAATATTTATAATAATCAAGGACAGTCAATAATGAAAGCCATGTTACATGTCAATATTAGAAGGGAATAAAGTTCGATGCTTATTACAGATATGTTTTTTTTAGAAATATAACACTCCTGAACAGCTAATATTTATAAAAACACTTTAGACCAGGATTATTTATAAAATACATTTATTTAACTGTGTAATTGTTGATCGAAATTGTAATTAAGAATAAGTTAAGGCAAGTGAAGTATCTTTCATTAACGCTGTCCATGCTAAGCGCCAGACATTTCAAAACATCGATTAAAATACTCATTTACATCTATTGTGTTTCCCAGACGATCAGTCACATAAATATTTCCAGCCATTTCTCAACAGTTCAAAGATAATCAGTCTTTGTTTGTCAGCTATACAAATTGTTGCAATGGAAATGCACTAACAGGAAAATATTTCTTTGAATAAAGAATCAGCATGGAGGGTTACTGACTTATATTTCTTCTTTAAGTGTATACATGGCAAAACCATTCATGAAATATACATATAAAGACCACTCTGTTCCCAGCCCTTTCTCAAAACCACCAATATTTCCCAAAATTTCAGCCCAAATAATACCACTTTTCCTATTCAGTGGGCATCGGGGAGGGAGGGATATTTCCCCGGGAGTAAGGAGACGCGAATGTAAAGCTGACCACTGACCTCTATCTATGGCCGAGGGATGATGCACAGAGCTATGTCCACTCCTCCATACGCCTTTATAATGTGGTGCATTAGTAGAGGAAAACATAACACGGGTTTGTTACAAATACCACACGTAACATTCAGGCGTTAATTGGCTTGTCTAACTCACAGGGGCATTAAACTAGATAGATAATAACAAAATGCGACAACCACTGAATAATCATAAGTGGCGGTACTTTGACACACTAAATGGCGACAGAGACTACAAAAGCCCATAAACACCATAAAGAAAGACACTAATTACACTACAGTATCAAAGAGGACGGCGTAGAAATAGCGACTGAGAAGGCAAAGTATATGATGTGATGTGGCGTGAGGAATGCCTTTGGAATGTCAGTGTACTCCAATATATATATACCATTCCATTCTTATTAAATAGGGATGCGAACTGGATTCACCGTGGACGACCAGATTTCGATTACCGACAGAGACATTAGAGTTCTGTTTCCCAATAACACGCAGGAAGGCTCTTCGGTCCAATTAGTTTGCTATATTATGGGTAGGGGATAAGGGAACGAGGTTACGAATGTGCTAAATCTTAATCCCACGGCAATTACAAAGCCTTTAGATTGGCACAGATTATCAGTCCCGATTTATGTCTATACATACTGCACAGGAAGTTTGTGTTTAAATTTGGTGGCATGCAGAAATGCGGCACTTTTAGGTTAAAGTTTTAAAACGTGCTAATTTAAAAACTGCGAGGAATTCGATTTAAAACAAAGTTCTATACGCCTAAATCAAATGTGATTATTAGGTTGTCCCACTATCTATTACTAAACCCGTACTGCAAAAGCTTACATTAGGAATAGATTTCAATTAAAAGGCCTAAATCAAATGTGATTATTAGGTTGCCCCACTATCTATTACTAAACCCGCACTGCAAAAGCTTACATTAGGAACAGATTTCAATTAAAATAATCAATACCTACTAATCACACATTATTTGGATCGAAGTCTTTGCTGATGGTTCAAAAATATTTCAAAACAAGATTCTGTCTGACCTTGACAACACATTTCAATGTTAACGACCGGTAAAATTAATCACGTGATATTTAAAGACGTTTATATTGTTGAGGAGAGAGTTAATGACGCGATAATTGGCTGTCTTGGATCCTGGCGTTCTCTAGCGGATTTTCCATGAATCCTCGCGACAACGCAGAGCGTTGGAGCACGTCCGTGGCAGACCTCACAGAAGGCTTCCAGGCACACGCATCATGTGGACACGTGAGTACACAAATCCTTACTTGAAGTCAAGTGGCGTCCAGTTTCTAGCTTGGATTACTTATTTCGTCAAATAAAATGTCAGATTCTCGTACCAGCAGTTCTCAAACTACTCTGATGCACTGCAAAACAGCAGCAATTTCTCAGAGGACTAACAATCTAATTGCTGCATACTACGCGGAACAAGCAACAGTGTATAGTATATCTGATTACCACTATCACGTGTAAACATGTTTATTTGTGATAAGCAATTCACGTATCTGACTTTAATATCAAGAAAGACGTCGTCAGTGTTTCCTTAGGTAAACATAACTAAGCAGAGTCCTTCTTGAGAAGCTGACAGCCGCTCAGCTAGTAACGACATTAACTGCATTTATGTATGCCTTTCCCAAGGTTCATTACCGTGATCACAAGAGCTCGACACTAGTCACTATCCTGAACCAAATAAATCCAGTCGACACTTTCAAAGGCTATTTCATTAAGATTCATCTCAGCCTAGCAATGTTCTCTAACCTTACGTTACAGAAGCACTAATGTTTACATTGTACATTGCCTGAGGTTAACAGGACGTTTCGAGATTTAGCTGTATTCTGGTATTCAGGCAATGTTTTTGCATTTAATTATAAATCTCGTAGTGTGATGAAAGGATGAGAATTTCTTGAGCAGCCGAGTGAATATCAGCTTCTCAAGAACGAGCCTGCGTTGTTACTTCATTGTGATCTTGCACAACTCATTTGTCAAAATATTTACTTATTGCGAATACTAACAGCTCTTACGTTCTTGAAAACATTAAATAACACGACGCAGTTCACTCCGCAATACAAATTATTCTTCGGTGTGATTTTTTTAGAATATAAATCAAAGGTTCAAATAAGGGCAGTGGTAAAGGGAGATCTGTCCCTGGTTCTTAAATAAGCATTACTCCATGCAAACGTATGGGGACGTGGAGGTATAACTCCGAGAATTCTTAACGTCGGTACTAGAAAAATATCAGTGGTCAGTTTCAAGCCTCGATCACATGGCCCTCAGGAAAGAACTCCGGTACCAATGGTGGACCTAGTTAAACCATTTAAAGCCAGTGCGCCAACTGTACCAACAATTATTAACTGTCAATTTTGTATTTATGGGTGTTGTAAGGCACTCGATGTAAACAGCGAATCTTTACTAAAACGGCGTAAACCAATCGATCGTTGTGGTGGTGAAGTTTTGTGTTTCCTTTGCGGTACGGACTGAACTAGTAAATATTATTCAGATGAGCTTCGGCTTAAGGGGATTTAAACGGATCTCGTTTGGAGGTGGAGACGTGGGATTTCACTACTGTCCTACATAAACTGCCGATTAAAAATTTGCATAAAATAAAACCAAACCGGCCCCGGAAAGTAGTCCATTGGGCGCGATGAAGTGCGACATGATTTCAACTTCGATCCTGTTTTCACCGTTACTAATAGATTAACCTGCAGCGGCTTCTTGTATGGTCCAGTGGATATTTCCTTCGTGTCATTTCTACAACAGTTTATATAGGATAAATCTAACAGCAATGACATACTGAAGACAAGATGGCTGACTTCTGGTTTGCAGCGCCGTGTACCGTGGTAGAAGTTTATCAACGTTTCAGAGGTCCTTGCTGCCTCCATCATCTGGGCGATGTCATCGTCCTGATAATGGAGGCTACAACCCAGAAGACAGCCATCCTCGTAGTCAACGCCGTGAGAACCTCAAATCCCACTTAGACTGAAGAGAGTTTGTGGTCTGTCTTCAAATTTGCTTGGACTCTTGGGAATTTCCCCTCTGATTCAAGGCAACCAGCATCATGACATATCTGTGACGTCAACAATTACCACACCCCTTCCTTTGTAAACACCATTTTGGCAAAAAATGCAAGGAGAGACTGCTCCTGTAACTTGAGCAAATTCGGCGAACACAGCGGTCGCTTAGGTCATAACGAAGCTGCAGTCAGGAGTTCGAATCACGTCAATAAACTGGGTGTTTTGTGTGGAATTTCTATTATCATCATTAATTGCCCAAAACATCGCGACCTTCTACAAAGTCCCAAATGCAATTTCTGTCTGTTCACCACGACTCCAGAATCCTGGGAGGTGATCCCTGGATTAAAAACCCTGGGAAATCTGTAAATCCACTACTTGTCATTGTTATCGATCCTAGAGGGCAGGGATTCTCAACCTACAGCCCCACCGATTAATTCTCTGCTGACCGCGTTAATTTTTATAACATTTAATCACTCTGTATAATAAAAAAATAGTTATAATCTAAATCAGATGCTTAAATTCAAGTGATTAATTAGCGAATCAAATCTGTTGTTTAAGCTCACCACATAACAAACTTCACAGAGAATATTAATAAATTACGAACTTTCGCAAGGGACTCATAAAGACCAAAATAACACACTAACTCCATGCAGTAGCGCCCTTATTGTTACGCTCATGCGACAATGTGTTAATACTGATATGGAAATGGATTTACAGGTGCGTGGATGGTGCCTATAGTGGCGCTCTGCCCCTGGGTACTGGCACCGCCGACGGCAGGCATCGACAGCGCCACCAGTCAAGAGATTGCTGACGCCTCGACGTCGTTCTCACTGGAATTACTGCAGGTACGAGCGTCAATCACGAATACCGAAGAGCAAGGCACTGTTACTCGAAAGCAAAATGCCACCATGTTTCATACGCGGTTTATTTAACGACGCTAGCATCGAATTAACTGGAAAGAACATGCAACGAAGCAATCACAGCTCAATTTAAGGTATTATCCCGGAATTTGCTTCACAATCCGGAAGACCACAATTTTTTTCCCAACTGTGGCTACGTAATTAAAAATGTAGTTTCTTGCAAAAGTTAAATAATTTTTTTTTAATTATTTCGCAGGCGATAGTTCGAAGACAGGCGGGTAACGTGTTGGTGTCACCTGTAAGTGTCTCCATCTTGCTCGCCATGCTGCAACAGGGATCGCGTGGACGGTCCAGGGATCAGTTAAACGCCGTGCTACATGCAGTGCCTGACCGAGCTCTTGAAGGGTATGGCCACATCGTTAGGAGCCTCAAGGTAACATATTACGTCATAACGGAACATGGAGCATGGTATGGTCTGACTTAAGGTACGTCATCAGAGCTTCAAGGTAAATACAACTAAACGTCACAATAAAACAACAACATGGTCTCTCAAGGTAACAGTCAATTCATAGGTACATTATCCACAGCCTCCAGGCGATGACCGAGAATCATTATGAAGTATTATATTACTAATACATCCTGCCTTTTTATCATTATCAACAGCTTTCCACGTCTGTGGCCCAATGGTCTGATATGGTCTCCCCATAAATCGTCGTAAATTTGGCTGTTAACGAATAATTTGGATCGCCATGAAGATATTTTCACATTTAATTTACTGCAATAAATGTTAACGTAAAAACATCTAATTCCAGTCAATTTTGATGGCTCATAGACTACTCTAGTAGTAAACTATGATCCACTCCTTAAGTAAATCTAACGCCACTTTGCCATCCTCTTTCAGAAGCAAAAGACGAGCTCCCTGGTGCTGGAGTTCGGCAACAAGATATACTTAAAGTCTGATTTTGAGCTAATGCCAGAGTACAAACAGATGCTCGTAAGAGACTTCCTATCTGATATTGAGACGACTGATTTCCTGAAGCCTGTGGAGGCTGCCAAACAAATCAACTCATGGGTATCCAACGTCACACACAACAGGATTTCTTCTATACTTGATCCAGGTATGGACATTGATTGACCTGCATCAATGACATGACATAGGACTGGAAGATAACAGGGCTGAATGTGTCAGGCAGTTATGGCAGAATCCGTTAAAATAGTTAACGACCAATTCCAAACTGATCCTTCTCAGTTCAACACACGTACATACATAAGCTTTTAGCTGCTTTGACATTCAGTTATCTATGATGTTGATACGATGTCATTAAATACTGTCAGCAAATGTACCAGAACATGCAAATTTTGCTATTTCAGATGCAATTTCAGCAAGGACGCAGCTGGTGTTAGTGAATGTGATATTTCTGAAAGGAGTGTGGCTCACTCCTTTCAGAACAGAGAACACTGCTGAAAGGAGCTTCAGCCCGAGACCTGGGGTTGAGATTAAAGTTCCCATCATGCATCACACTGGCAAGTTCAGGGCAGGAGATGACCCCAGTCTGGGTGCCAAGTGGGTCGAACTACCATTTGACGTAAGTCGTGAGAGATTTTATTAGAATTTCTTGTATGGGCGTAAAACTTGGTCTCTTAAGAGAAGAAAACAGATTGGCGGTGTCTGACAATAGGATGCTTGAAAGAATATTTGGACCCAAGAGAGATGAAATGACAGAAGACTGGAGAAAAGTGCATAATGAGGAGCTCCATATTTTGCTCCCTTCACCAATTATTATTAGGATGATAAAATCAAGGACATTGAGGTATGCAGGACATGCGGTATTAATGGGGGCAACGAGACATATGCATGGTCTCGGTCAGAAACCTGTAGGGAAGAGACCACTCAGAAGACCTAGGATCAGATGCGAAGATAATATTAAAATGGATATTAGGGAAATAATGGAAGGGTGTGGACTGGATTCATATGGGTCAGTACAGGGACAGGGTTGTTTGCTCTTGTGACATGGTAATGAACCTTTGGGTTCCAGGGAATCTCTTCACTAACTCTGTGTTTTGTCAGCATCTCAAGGAGGACGCTGTTCCATGGTTAGGATAGGTCAAGAATTTCTGAGATTTCAGGCACACAAGGCGTTGAATACATCAGTTGCAGCCTCCTGGTTTGTAATTCCATGCAGTGTTATAGGTGGTCACTAACATTTTGGAGGATCATGTCACCTCCATGTTCATGGTTGAAGTGGGCTAAAGCGTTCAACCCTGAAAATGGAGGAAATACATTCCTCTGAAATGGTGGCAATCACATGGCATCACAGCCCAGAAGACCACCAATGACGAGAATTTCTCCGTGTGCAGGGCGAAGAGTTCTCCATGGTGTTGGTACTTCCAAATGAGAAGCATGGTCTGGACAGGCTGGTTTCTCAGATGAAGCCTCAACACCTGTCCAACATGTTAGGTACCAGAGGCACAAAGCAGGTCTACCTTGCACTACCTCGCTTCAAGCTCACCACACAGATGTCACTAGTTCCCACACTGAAGGAGGTGAGAACAGACTTAATATTGGAATTCCAACAATTTTTACTGTCTTTTAATTATCCAAAGGACGTGTAAGCTTCCATCTTTTAGGGAGATGACTTAGAGGACCAAAACAATTTTCAGTTTGAGACGTGTTTCTGAATTTTGTTACTTTCAGCTCGGCCTCACAGATGTGTTCACCACTAATTCAAATCTTGGAGGAATTACTACACAAGAAGGCGCACTTACTGTGTCTGATATCGTCCACAAGGCAGAACTTGAGGTGAATGAAAAAGGAGGGACAGCTTCAGCTGCGACAGGTATTCACCTCTTGTGAAGTTCATTGATTTCGTGCCAAGACTTACAAATAGTCGGCTGCAGCATAACTGAGACTATTCAGATTTTATTAAGATGATACAAAAACTTATTCCTTCAATGGAGTTCTTCTTGAGAAATTTATGGTCACTCAGTTGATAAAGTAATTTTCAGTAGTGGGCTATTGTGACCATGGTAATGAAACTTTGGACTCTATCGTTAAGTTACTTCAAACCACCTCTCACCTTTGGAATCCATTCTTATATAACATATTATTATTGCTTCCTTATTCGTTATTATTATAGCATTTCTTGTTACACCAATATGTGCTATTTGAAGCCGCACGCTTCTTGTTTGAATCACCCCAGAAATATAGACTAGTGAGTACAGATATCTTCCTCAACACCTCATTTGCAAAATAATCATGTTCCATTTAAAGGCATGAGTCCAAGTTACACACAAGCCAAAATAAAAGGTAAAAATGTTATCAGTCTTACGGTTCCTGCGGCAGGTAAGTAGCCTGAATATTGTACCATGTTGAATGGTGCAAATTAAATAAAATTTCAGAAATATGGGCTGCCCAGTAACAAAATTTCCCAAATTTAACTAGACATTAATTATATCATGCACATAATTCTGAAGTGTTACCGTTATTTTAAAATGGGCACATTGAATGTACCACATTGCCATATGCTTTATTAGCAATTCCATTTCAGAACAGGGACTGTGTAGGATATTTGGACCCAAGGAGGCTGGAGTAAATTGCATAACGAGCAGCTCCATACTTTGTATTCATCAAATATTAGTCTGATAATGAAAACAAGGATGTGGACAGGGCATGTAGAATGCATACAAAATTTGGTCAGAAAACCTGAAGGAAAAAGACTATTTTGATGACCTGGACATAGATAGAAAGATAATATACGAAGTGTGAGGGGCGTCAATTGAATTAACCTGACGATGGATGGGGCCTAGTGGCAGGCTTTACTGAACATGGTAATGGGGCATATAAGTGGGGGAATTTCATCACTTGTGTAACTACTAGCTTCGCAAGGTCTCTGTGCCTTGAGTTATTATTGGATTTCCCATAAACTTATTTGATATGACCCAGTTCTGTTACTTTTCAGCAATTCTGGTGGCTACTCTAAGTCTGGTGGTGAACCCAGATGAGCTGCAATTCAATGCCAACCACCCCTTCCTGGCAATAATCGTGCACCGCGTGAATTCTGTGCCACTGTTCGCAGGAAGAGTGTCAGACCCATCAATATCATAGTCTCTACATCGGGGGAACAGCGGACATAACATGCGCAGAAAGTGAGGACAACGTAATTTCATTGTGATGAATGAAATGTAGTGATAAACAAAGGATGGAATTACAGTGACTTCACAGACATATTTAAGTAATTACTTAATGAAACTGTAGTATATGAAAGACTAATTTCTTATTTCTCTTATCCAAATAAAGTAATAAAAAGGTTCTCAAAAGAAGTTACTAAATACAGAGAGAAAATAACCACTCACTCTTCTAGGTACATATAAATAAGTACTTACCTTCAACCTACAGCGTGAATCATCATGAGATCTCTGCAGAAGATGACTTGCAGTTTCAGTCTTAAGTAAATTCTTGTAAGAAATCAGTCTTATATGGCACCTATCGTAAGACATAATTTCTGTGAACCTGAAATATCAAGCACTTGTCTTAGCATCTGATCATTCAAAAACAATATTACTGATTATTAAGACCCCCGCCTCCAAATACCCATTAAATAGGATGCTGGGTCATCCAATCTATATAAACAGACTGAGCCATGCTAATTTTCTCAGACAACGTAACGAAGGTGAAATGGCTCAGTTCAGTGACAGCATTTGTAATGAACTTATGAATTCCATAACATGAATATTTTTAACAAATGAATAACTATCAGAAGACTGTGCCACAAGGTTCGGTAAGTGATGAAACAATTAAAAGAAATAGAATAATATAATGGAAAAGAATCCATTTTCTCTAGCTTGTAGTCTCAGCAATTAAACCAGGTTTCTACAAACATAAGTAAACTGTGATAATATTAATGACTCCATTGTACAGGTCTTCAAGCTGTCTCCTTTTATGAAACATGGAGGCTGATCTCTAAATTCACTAAAGCCTGGAATTTATCAAAAGCCAGTTTAATTCAGTCCTTCATATATCAATCATCCAAGACCAATTGTAATATCATCCTCTTTTTTATTACTGGGTCTTCCAAGTGGTCTCTGCCCATGTCATTCTCTGATTTAATCAGTTTAACAATATTTGGTGAAGAGTACAAACCGTAAAACACTTATTATGTGTTTTTTCCATTACTGTATTTCACCTTGCAAATTTAATTATAAACAAACTGACACAAATATAAACAAGAGACAAAATTGTAGTTTTAATCTCTAAGATTTTAGATAGAAAAATGTAAGATGAAATATCTGTACTTCCTAACTTTAATCTGCTCCAACTGTTATGACCTGTTAAAAAAAGTTGGTACGGTTCATACAAGTTACAAACAGAGAAGACAAGTTTAATCAAGACACTCCCTTCTAGCGGAATGTCAATTTATTCAAAGAATTTATTTATTTTTTTCTTTCCACACTGCTCATCTAGGGACACTTTTATATTACATACACATTTGGACAATTTATTTTAAACTTAAGGTAAAAATCTGGCACCAGAGGAAAAACAAAAAATTCTTTACAAGAAGAAGGAATACTCAAATGGCATGGCACAACATATACCTCCAAATAACTACTTTAAAATCAGAACTTTTCATCCTGACTCTGTATAAAAATAGTCACTCTTGAAGGATTATTGTTTTCTGCTCTATGAACCCATTTAATGTTTCTCAGAAAATAAGTAGTGTAAAACTACATTTAAAATTGGAAGTAGCTATCTCACAAGTTATATACACACCTGGAAAAACACTTAACAGACTATGTATTAGAAATAGGCAGACAGGTTTTCTTGTTGAACAGTATGGCCCATAATAAAACGCATCAAAAGGCAGCGGAATGTGAAGTAAATGTATGATTTTGACGTCTCAAATGACAATAAGACAAAATGAGTTAAAGACGAAGATCAAATACATGTGAAGATAAAGTTACAAGCATTCTAGACCAACGCTAAATGTAGATAACTGTAGGTCAGCTTCATACTCTTAGATGTGGTATTAAACATAAAGATTCTTGCTAGAAATATAACCCTGGCTACCCAGCTCTTCGCCAGTCACATTACTAGAAATGCCATTTCTTACACATGTCAAAATTTTATGTGGAAAATGTCACAACCGAGATAAACAATGTCTGTATACCCAAATCACATCATTCATACAGAGTACTATTTTATCTGAAAGCCTAAATGAAAATCAGAGAACAGATGTGTGATCAAAAACGAGGCAGCAGGTTTCCCTAAAATGTTGGTACTACTTTTATTCCTTAATACTGAACCATGCCCAGAAGATAAGTGAGAAGTGCTTAACGTAAAAATCCCAAATGTCAATAACTTAATGCAGGACATGATCCCGTACGTTCAATTAAAAACAGCTCCTAGAACCTGTAATAAAGAGAAATACTGTACACGTAAAGACAGCTTTGGGTTCACTGACACAAAAATTTACAGTTAATCCAGGTTTCCTTTCAATGAAAAGAAACCATTTCAGTAATTTATTTTTCAACACTGTGGGAACAGCACAGGTTATATAGTGAGAGTTGCAGATGTATCAAAAGTCTAGTACTGAGTTTACATACGTTTGCACTACAGAGCCATCTAGTAGTGACATATTTTATTTTGGGACATACTGTGTGGTGTGGACAATATCCAACAAGGCACACTTAATAATCACTAAAGCTAAAACTAAGCTATGCCCATTAAAAAAAATAACAAACTATAGTAGATGCTACTGTACATGTTTTTCTTTTTTTACAAAATTATCAACATATTCAATTACTCTGAACAAACCTATTTCAGAAAGGGACTCAAGTTAGTTCAACTTCAATCAAATTTTGATTTTGAATCACACCACCATACTCTCCTACCCCAAGAACATTTTCTTAAAGGAAATAGAAAACACTGAAAATAGCCTCTTATTTCTTTCTGAGCACCCCCCCCCCCCCATATTCTAGGGGTTTTTCAATACATGGAATTGCAATCCATGTTTCACAGTCATGTGTTTTACCTTCTAGGGACCAGACCATTGAAAATGGTAAAGTTGTTTCTATGCTTAATTAAGAGCCATGGCATGAAGACATGTTGAGAATGGAGGTACAGCTCCACACATTTTCAACATCTGTACTAGATGGAAGTGAGTCATGAGTCACATGCCTTGGCTGCTTTACCTCTGGGGAAAGACGTCCTGTTACCCAGTGGAAAACAGGCTGGATGGATAACACAACCAATCTGCATGCAATGACAAGGAGAAAAATCCTTGCCCCCACTGAGAATTGAACCCCTGTATTCCAACCCATAGCTTCATCATTATAAGTAACAAGCTTAAATCAGGAGGACTTGTGACAATGAGCAGAATGATTTGCACATACGAAAAACGAACAGAACGTGAAATGAAAACCAACCCAATGTCTTACATTGTGTGGGTATTCAGAATGGGTTCAGGTAACTGTAAGGGAACATTTCACATGTTCACAATGGCTACTAGTCATCATTGGTCAAGTTTACCAACGTTTCAGAGGTGCTTGCTGCCTCCATCATCAGAGCAGCCAGCACCACTGAAATTCTACCAACATCCCAGTAGACAGTAACCTCTGTATTTATTATTTCAACACAGACATCCAACGAGTAAAAGTGAACAAACCTTCAACTTGTCCGCATAATTGCTAGAGCAAGAGAGACTATTGTCCCAGCAGATGCTACCTGTTTGATTCCCACAGAGAACAATACCTTGGCTTTCATCTCACCATCACATCACAAGTATTTTTTTTTCAACTTTGGCAGCACAAATAAAGTAAAGTGTCCCGCTACACGCCTATCACGCCCCGGCTGCGCTTTACCCCCGAAAGGACCCCGGTACCCATTGGACATGACACAGAGGCTAGAGGAAAAATCCTCTGCCCCAGTTGGGGATCGAACCCCAGTCACCCAGCCTAGTCACTATACTGACTGAGGTACAATACTGTGACACCTACAAGGTGTCAGGCCTGCTCACAGAGAAAAAAGCGATCCTTCTCCAAAACAGTGTCTATTCCTATACAAAAGGTGTTAAAATGCAACTCCTGAAGCTGTTTTTCTGGGAATGGCTTGCCTTTTCATATTAGTCTGCATCATGCAGCAACTTCCATTTCCTTGGACCACTGAAGAAAAACACTTATGGCGTGATGATGAAATAGAAGCCAAGGTGTGTCAGTGCGTGCAAACAAGAAAACCCTGATTTCTTCTCAGCAAGAACCAAATACATGATGAAGATTTCTGTCTTCTGGGTTCTTGCATTGTGTAGTCTGAATATTCATCGCCCTGATGACGAAAGCAATACGACCTCTGAAACCTTGGTTAACATCGACCAGACTACACAGCGCAACAACCCAGAAGAAAGAAATCTTCATACTCACCGCTGTGAAAACCTCAAATCTTACAAATACATGATGCATTACTGAGACAATAGACTTATTGATTTTGTAATTATGTGGAAAAAGGAAGGGACTGTCTATTAATAATTGTTCTGCTGGCCTTCTGCATTCACGTAAAAAATTATAAGTTATGACACCCTCAAATATTACTTACAAAACAATCTTCATTCATATTTATTAAGTTGGTAACATGGACCCATCAGCTACCATCATTTCTACCAACATGAAAGTCCCTTGACTGAAACCTTTCATTTCATAAACTAAATAGAATATACGTATATTATCTGAAGCTTTCACGGCAACTTATTATAATGAATTCTTCTCGGGCTGCCAGCAGTGCCAAGTGGCTGAATGGAGATAACGCCAACATTTTGAGAACCACATGACACGGCTGATAGCCCAAGATTAATTAATTAAAAATAGAATATGAGACTTTTTGTGAATCTGAAAGTATGCCAATATGTGATCTAATCACTGCTGACACTTCATGGAATTTGTTTTTATATTGTTTATATAGTCTTAACTTAACATTGATTATCACTTCTGTCATTCTGTATGCAAACACCATTTCCCAGGAGATCATTAAATGGAGACTTCATCGTAATTTGTTCTACACATAGAACTTCACATTCCTCACATTCCTATAAACTGTACCATTGTGACCAGATTTGTAAATGTTACATGACTGTTTATCTTCTGTATGCAAATTTTTGCATTTCCAGTAATTTCTGTATAAAATCTCCAGACTGTGTGAAGCATCATTAAATAAATCATTTGCTTTGTTATAATTAATCAGCAATGATTTTAAATAAAGTGCATCATTTCAGAGAGCAACCAGAAAAAGAGAAAATACTTGTGGATGTACTCATTTCAAATAGTTATTTAAATATTTCTGTTTTGTATAGCATATTATTCATATTCATTTATCATGCAAAATTATGTAGTTTGAAAATTTTGGCACTATTGGCCTTAGAAGGACATGTTTAGCGATGTAATATATATTTTTATTTCTGACATTGACATGTTTTCTTATGATGAGAGAATTATCTATATAACAGAAGCCAGAAAAACAGGCCTAGAGCGCATTACTCACCGAGAATGTTAACATAAAATATAATTTTATAATAAAGTTTACATATTTAAAAATTATTATTTTGCCTATGTTTCATCAGTACATATGTCATAGTAGTTATTATAATTTTCAAAAACCTGAACTTATTGTTCCACATAAAATTTCGCTGTCCTAAAAAACTGTTACACGTATTCCTCACTCCCATTCTAAAGCCGAAATATCCGATCAAATAAAAATTGCAAGTATAATTATTTATCACATCTTAAAAACCCACCACATACACATAACACAAACTAACAGTTGCTGTAGTAATGCCATAAATAATGCAGATAATGTATATATAGTGTTACAATAACAGCAACAGAACTATAATAATACAAAATACATGTAATTCAACATTATATTTCATTCCCTAACATGCTAAAACACAACTTTAAAATTTGGGTTAACCCCGTTTTGTGTGTTATAGTAGTAATACGATGCACAAAATATTCCCATCATTCAGTGTTTTCTAAGGCAATAAATATGACAACTTATTAACATCCACCAACCTCTAAGACAGTAACACAGATCCACAAAATATATATGTATACACAATACAGTAAGTTATGTGTATATATCATAAATATTGTGAAGATTCAATTTCCTCCATTATAAATTAATCATTCAACTTTGGTTTCCTCTTAAAAAATTATTTTATAGCATAATGACTTCAAAACATTAATTATATATATAATTTATTTTTCGATGTGGAAGTTAGGACGTATCCAAATTTTACTTTATGCAACACCACTTCCCGATTTCAATCTCGCATTCTCTCATCTGCTTTCTATCATCTCCCATTCATGCAGAACTAATGTTAAGACCTGAGCATGCTTAGGAACAGTTCAACTCCGAGATTTGAGGAGGATCTGAGAGAGACAACACTATGGTTGGCTGTTCCCATAATGTCTAACACATTACAGTTTTGTAAAATGGCATTTGATTTGACACTACAAGAAATTTTGGCAGTAAGCATACAGCAGCAACATAAAATGTTGACAACATGCCTGTATTTGCAGACAGCAGTATCACACTTTAATTTAAAATTCAACTGTTTTAAAGAAATTCTCAAAACTGCAATCAGTAAAACCAACATATTTACAAAATAAAATAAGTAAGTGGTAGTTGTAAAAGTTATAAAACCACAACAGAATATATGCCTTTGAATTTAAATGTATCTGTAAAATGTACTATTGTGTCAACAATTTATGCACTCCAAAATTAGAAAGTCTTGCAACATATACTGGAATGCAAGCAACAAATTTTACACCTGTTAATTTATTATTACCAAAATAAAGATATCCAGGATAACCATTTACCTGAAATAAGTGTGGACCAATCTTCAGGCTTAATTCCATTCTTTCCATCAACTGTGTTATTTCAAATACCCCTCTCACCCTCCTCCATAACCATTAACCATTATTTCCTTAACCACTCCACAGAAATAAATAAATGACAACAAAAAAATTTAAACACAAACATTACATGAATGCACAATGCTGGAACTAAAACAAAACACATTCTCACCTTATACACAATGCTACCAACCCATAACACTCAATTAACCCTAACATCCAAAGATACTATGACAATTCCACAATCACTCTTAGCAAGGTTCATCTGTGACACTGATGGCAGCACTTTGACACAACAATAAGTTGATGCTGCTAACAAAATTATCAACTTTTGTGGATATGAGTAAGCAAAAAGAAATGGGACAAATGATTGTGTCCCATCTCTCAATGCAATATGTTGCATACTATTATTAAAAAGCTTAGAACATACCCTGATATATACAGCACCTTAACCTACTGACAGTTCATAACTTACTCCTTACTGCTTATGTTATGACATAATAATGGTATCTGTTGTCAGGAATGAGGCACACCTAACATCTTTCAGTCCATAGCCACAATAATTAAAAGGTTTCAGCAGCCTACAACATAACCTATACATAAAATCTTTGCTTCTTCTTCTTCTTATTATTTGATGCAAAATACATTGAGGATTGTTCCTACAATCTATGGCAGTTGCATTGAGCTCTTTTACCATCAGCATGATCTCATCACAAGGTGCAATAACACTTCTTAAATCACATTAACACACTGAAATATTTAGAACCACAACTGCAAATACCAAGATTCAGTTCTCACTAACTGTCCCGATTAGGGTGCTTTCCATGACATCGGCGAGGCCAGGGCAGAGGCCACTCGTACTGCCGCGGAACCGGACCGCCAACATTCTTTTCGAAGTACCAAAACAATGGGTACCACCACATCCGCGAAAGGAAGTTATTTGGACCACTGTGCTGCAATAAAATGAGAAACAAAACAAGCCGTCATAAAAAACACGACTGGACTGATTTTGAGTGATTATGCCAAAATGTTTCTAGAGGTGAAGAGTTTTTATTAAAAGTGTGGATTGAAAATAAATACAAAGTTGAAAGTATGTAATAATTACCTTAAGATTTGGATTGTTGGCAAGAGTATGATATATCCAGAAGAGAGTGGTGGTGGCGTAGTACGCGATGATAACATCTACGGTGTAGTGCCCGTGAGACCAGAGTAACATAACAATTCCAGTCAGTGATAAACACCAGGACAGCCAATGGATGGGGAAACACCTTCGTGGGGAATCTGTTAACATAAGCACTGGCGTTAAAGAACTATAATACAAAATGCTTAAAAATTCTCACGAACAATATAACAGATTGAAACAGATTTTCTTTTTCACATTTGGCTTTCAGTTTCTCCTCAACTTATGACTAATGGTCACTGGACAGATCGCCTCAAGAGAAGAGATTGACTGGTAACCCTTGGATGAATAAAATTAAAATGGATCTTATGATACAGATTGCGAAGGTGGAAACTAACTGGCAGAGGATAGGATCCAATGGTGAGCTTTTGTGAGCAGTGATAAAAATTGACAAATATTGTGACCAGATGAGTAACTATCAAGTGCTCAAACATAACCGCCTCATACAATTGTTGCTCTACTCATTTTAATTTAATCTCAAAACTGTTTTCCGCAAGGCAAAAGGAATTTGTTACGGCAAAGCTAGAAATGTGATACAGAGTAAAAATGTAACGAATTATAACACAAAATCCCGTGTAAGATTAGCCCAAAATTTTCTGATGCATATTAATGGACATTGGTTTCATTCATAAGTTTAAAAAAACCCAAATCATTTAAGAAATTGACTACTTCCGTCTCAGGTGAAAATATTCAACCTAATCAGTTGGGTCTATAAAGACTGAAATTACCTTTTTCCAGTGGACCCAAGTGACGATGTTTAATGAAGTAACGGATAACTTTATTTTACTGGAAAGGTTAGTTCTTTCATGACTGAAGAGTTTTTAAGTTCCTTAGTATCTACAAGAGGATGGTAAGACAGTATTTTGAAAAATTTCTATCAAAATCCTTACATATTTACCATTCAAGAACATCTTCCAATTTCACGTAATTCTATATACCCTGTGCAGATGAAAGAGCACAATTAAATAACCTAGGGAAGGGTTAAAAAGGACAACTCACACTCTGCTATAATGAGATAGCTCATGACAAGAATCACAGTGTGGCCACTATATATGTAATCTCCGCAGTACATGTGTCGCCCATTAATCGAGAGACCAAAACCAATCATCAACTGCCACGCTCGCTTCAACACCACCACGCTGCTTGTGACATTCATCTTTGGTGCACAGTAATAATTGTGACTGGAGACTGGCAAAACCGTCACATACATTGTGACGGAACGCATCAGGTACAGTGTTGCCAGAATCATGAACACCCGTCGCATTACAATGAACCTGTAAAAATTACAAGAACAAATATTATATGGTAAAAGAAGGGGCTAGAAAAGTATGTGGTTTATAGCAAAGCATTCTTTCCAAATCTTAAAACTAATATGGTTGGTGATCACTGAAATATAGTATGTAAAGCAGTGATCTGCAACGCGGCACCCGCCAAGGCTTTTTGTGGGTGCCCGCGTTGTTACGGAAAGAGGTTATACTGAATAATGAAGGCCGTTCAACCACAAACATCATAAAATCAAAGCGCGGATCTCAGCTTACTGACGCCCATCTTGACGCTCGTTTGCGAGCAGCAACATCATCCTACACTCCAAAATTTGAAAAACTGGCCGACGAAATGCAGCGCCAAACATCACACTAACCTCCCACTTGAGTAATAATAATTGTACTTATAAAAGTACCTATTTTTGATTGCGTGGTTTCTTGTATTATTAAACGTCGTGTTGTTTTGTGTATTATTTGGTGTCCATATCTTATTTGTCCAGAGAAAAGAAAATTTGGCTTTGTTAATTGGTTGGTGCCCGCCACGATCTCATAAACTCTCAAATGTACCCGTAGGCACAAAAAGCTTGGGGACCACTGCCCTACATGCAGAAGCTCATAAACCAAGAATGTTAACATAAATCAGCAATGGCGCTGTTTGTACTTACCGGTGTTTGTGGAAGACAAGAACAAAGGATGACGCAGTTGTTGCTATCATGATGAGTATCTCGGAAACATCGAGCGCCCAATCTGCCTCTGCTACTGTATTCAGGAATATATCTGACAGGGGGCCAACTTCTTTGTCAGGCACTCGCTCATGGATTAATGCCAAGGTCAGTGTGGTTGTCATAAAACTTGCAGTCAGGATCAAAAATGCTGAACAAGAAAATCAAGTTTTTTAACAACTATCTATCATGAATTAGTAAAAGTTCAAGGGTAGCAACAAGAAAAAACATAACGTACCTGGAAAAATAAGGATATACAAATGGTCTTCGCCATCTGTACTCAATACAATAATAATAATTAAATAAAATTGCTGCTTTCTCACATCTTACTAGATAACATCTTATGTCTTCGTTCTTACTGTTTTATTCCAGAAACAAAGACCTACAGTCTTCTTTCAGAACACCTTATGTTCGATGAACAAAATCCTACTACTAAGCCATGGCCATGTCACAAAATTATCTATCACTTATAAGAAAGTCAAATTTTAAGAAAGTGAGACACAAACCAATAAATGCTTTCCATTTTTCTTTGGGAAACCGTGGTTCTTCTCGAAGAGGAGCCGGAACATCGATTTTGACGACTCCATTTGGCACGCTGCCACGATGGATGGCCAGTCCATCCGACTTGTCATCTTCATCGTAGTACTCAATGGGAGGCGACAGGATACTTCCTGCACTACTGCTGGTCCAGGCATTGCCCTTTGTGCCAGGGGGAAGCAGCGGCTGCACAGCACAAACTTTCGGATACTCATTAAAATTCATCAGGTCCTGACTAACGAGCATTCACAATTCATGACCAATACAAAACTCAGTACTGTGACGTAAAAGTAGTAGAGAATTTGAGAATATGATGTTTCTAGTAAAGCATTTTTTAACATTCTAAATTCTTTATGAGCATGAATGATGAAATCACACTTACAATGAAGAACATTAATATTCTTTAGAATTTTAAATGACTTTAAAATATGTCAGATATTTCTCACTTGCTTTGTGTACTGATTATATAATATTAAAAAATTGGGGTAGTTAAGACAAAAAAGTAATAAACATAAATTTTACAGGGGAAAAGAAAAGTACTCTGTAATGATTTTAAAGGCTTTTCTAATTTACTCCAGACAAATGCAGATACATTCTGAGACTTTTGTTATGTCTTAGCCTTCCACTAATTTGTTGTAATAAAATTTAATTCAAGCATGCCACAGGATTGGCTCTTAAGAGTAACGAACGGCACAGGGAATTAGGAAACCCATGTAATCTGATCACTGACAGATAAGTAAACATTGGTACAGACCTGTCGTTGGTAAAGATCAGACTGGGTCATATTGTGAGTAAGACGCACGTTCTCGTTAACAGTACGCAGCCCTGTGTCATCACTACAGGACTGGTGAGCCACATCTGGGATATCTACAGCATGATCCAAATTTAGCGGACCGCTACCAATACCATTACTGTGACCCTGGATACTGCCATAGTCATTGTGGCCGCTGTTCTTGGAGTCCAACACCATCCTGCAGTAACAAAACACAACAGTTCTGAAACAGCTGGTCGTGAACACACACACATGCTGAAAAGTGGCCGCACTTTCATAAATTCAACTATTTCCTACACAACACCCAAGTTTTCAGCTCATGAATTTGTAAACAGTTTCTTACAACTCAATCTCTTGCATTACTAGGCCCTTAGCTGTCTCATTTATTTGTGGAGTTTAACTTTATCACTCCTTCATTCCATCTACAAACGCTGACATCGTTTTTCCAATTCCTGTCTGTCAGTCTCACCTGTAGCTCCGCTGTCCATCTTCTGACCTACTTTCTTGCATACCTTTCACCCTTATTGCACTTCTTATGTCTGGGATTCACAAGTCCGCGGGATAACCTTCCTTCACAAGTCTTACAATATGACTATGACGGTCACTTATTTTTATTAAAAAAACTGTATATTCTTTAAAACTAAGAAAGTTAGTTCAGAAGCAATTCATGTTACTCGTATTTCATAGGTACCCAGTTCAGATCTTGCCCACAGCCCCTGATAACAAAAAATGTTTTGTCTTCAATGAAGAGTTCAAAGGCTGCAAATGCAGCCAACGCCCACAAAACTTTTTTTTTTCCAAAATAAAATTTTCATATGCCAAAATAATGTAAATAAATAATCACTTGCACAATGGAATTTATTAATTACTGCATAAATAAAATCATCATCATTAGCTCTACAGCCCGATGCGGGCCTCGGCCTCCCAAATAATTTTCTTCCAGGAATTTTAGCTCTACAGCCCGATGCGGGCCTCGACTTCCCAAATAATTTTCTTCCAGGAATCCCTGTTTTTGGCTACTATCCAGAAATAAAATAATGCTGGTTTTTTTTAAAAAAAGGAACTTATAGATATAACTATCAATAAGAAGGGCCATTTTCCAGTTTTAACAACTAAAGCATAAAAATATGGTGAGATTTGAGGTTCTTACAATGATAGGCACTGTGTGAAGATGAGTATCTTCTGGGATATACCACTGTGAAGTCAGTAGATACTGACCAACATTTTAGAAGAGTTTAGTGCCTCCGACCACAGGGAGATAAATTAAACCACCCTCGGCAGAAGCTCCTCTGAACATAACATAATTTGTGACTCTGGAATTAAATGAGCTAAGAAAATTTTAATAAAATAGAACAGTTAACTGATTATCGGATGAAGAGAGCTTGTAGCTCGAAAGAGACAGATTAAAAAATAAGTGCATGTCTACCAATCCTGCAGTTCATCCAACACATGCTGTATCACGTTTCCACAAACGAGGCTCTACACGACCAAGCCACTGTTGCATCTGTTTCGGGTACAATGGCACTGGATAAAAATCAGGTTACGCCAGTTCGAAGTGTACTACGAGAATCTAGATCTGCCATTACAGGACAACTGCATCGACTTTTTAACCTATCAACCACTCAAGAAACCACTAATTTTTGAAACCAATAAACTGATAAAATGAAGTCCATTTCAGATATCACACTGAAAAACAATCTATAAGGCCACAAACTTTAAATTTCTCTCACAGTTCCATTCATACACCAATGTTGCCTGAATCTAAGACTGACACTGAAAACCACACATTTTTAGATATTTAAATACAATGATCCACACCATTATAAGGCACATCATTAAACCACTTCACATCCAAGCAGGTAAGTTGGGCAAACACATGTAAATATGTTAAATCCATGTAACTACAGACATACACAGCCTCCATAAAGCAGAACAGATTGCTGAAAATGGTTAAACAAAGACGTTTGCAGTTAAGAAAAATACACGTATAATCCAGTATTACTAAAAAGCTGCATTTAAACTTAAACCAAAGCCTATACAAGAAATAAATTTACCATTTACTGTTCAGGCTACATTGTAGTCCGTTTAAGGCATTTACTGATAATATTAATTCTCCCATAACGATTGCACGTCCATTATAAGCCAATTTGTAAACAAAAGCGACAACCATGGAAATCAACAAAACTGACAACAATAGAGATTCAGTGCGTTATTCCGCATTAGTTCGTGATTCCCCGTCGTCGCCAAACAATGTTACGTCATTTGTCTACTCGGCATTGTTGTGTGGTATACCAACAATGCCGAGTAAACAAATGACGCTTCACAGCGACGAGATCACCAACTACAAAGACAGTCGCTTGATCACTGCTCCAGAAGCAACACATCGCATTCTTGAAAATGAATATTTGACTGACATTTGGCCTCCGAACAGCGACGTAAAGAACTAAAACATCAGAACTATTTAAGAAATGAAGAAAAGTGAAAGAAGACGTTATCAACTATTTGAAGTACCAACACCAAAAAGGTAAACTGATAATAAAAATACTACTCATTCGATATATTACGAAGGAACGCGTTACTCTAGTACAAGAAATAACCCAACAATTTCATGTAAATTGATAATTAAATACAAAATAATTTTTTCTGCAACGAAATTGAAGACTGGGCCTAACTGAATTTCCGAAATATGTAATACTCTTACAGTAGGCCTACTATTCAACAGACTTCATAACAGAATAACTACTTAAGACTTAATAATGTACGTGTCTTCCGGTTTTTGAATCGTTTCAAAAATGGTAACAATGGCTGACTGTTCAGGAAAAGTTGGAACCTGAAGGAAACCAGCTGCAACGTCCGTCAGAAACGTCTGGAGTGTTTACCACTTCAAAGCGATGGGATATACTCCAAATGCGATAAATACAGACCCCTGTGTAAACTGAAATCTCATTAAGTTATTTGTTATTACGTCATAACGTCTCATCTTAAAATGCAAAATAATGATTTCAACTAGGGCTCCGCTGAACGAATTTCTAGAGACTTCGCAACAGACGTTTTTCAACTCACAGGATTTTAATTAAGACTATGCAGTTAAGGCCTATTAAACTTGGTCAGGTTTCAGGTTCTTAAGGGCCAGCCTTCATCATTATATTAATTTAATATAAAAAATACATAAAATTTACAGGTACATGAAGTGGTTCGTGTCGAAGTGGGACGCCAGATGTCGGTATAAGCGCTACAAAATGCATTATCACGCTCCATTAAAAAGGACAAATATACCCAAATCGACCTGACAGCCTCTAACCCAGATGTGAATGAAGAACATGAGTAGGTCAATGAGACGTACGGACAATCTAGAATTTCAAGCGAGAGAGGAGGGGGGGGGCCTTCCTACGTTAAAAGCTTTACGGTTTCCTCAGCTGTAGTGGTTACACGCGACACCACAAACCATATCAAACATGGCGACAACGCGAAATAAATGTCCTTCTCCGATGTTATTCAAAATTTTGTTATCACTGTAAGCAGAAAGGTATATGAGGGTGAGAAAAAAGGATGTGATAGGCAGGACATGTAGCATGCAGGCTATAAAACTATTATAATTGTTTTCGTTGGAAAACCTGAAGGGAAGAGACCACCAGGAAAATCCAGAAGTAGAGGGAGACACTTGTTGCTATCATCAATCACATCTCTGATGATGGAGTTACTGGAAACTTCTGCCGGACTACACAGCGCAACAACCCAAAAGACAGTTCTCTTCATTCTCGCCTCCGTGAGAACCTGAAACCTCACATTCAATGTTTCATTCCCTTAACGCGAGAGACCAAGTTTCCTAAAAAATCAAGAGGTGATAATTAAGGCTATATAAAATTATTATACATCTTTAAGTTTTTCAATAGCAGGCGAGAAAACAAAAGATTATCATCTGCATGAGGCAAACATTCCTGGAATTTAAGTTCCTGTTAATTTTCTTCGTGTGTGTTACAACTTCCGCCCTACAAAATATTCAGCACTGCCAGCATATTTCTTTAGTCCTACGAAGTAAAAGGAGAAATACGTCAATTTCAAACAGGTTCTGCGGTTTAAACAACGTTTCAACACAAGGCTTTACGGATGAGGAATTTCTTGGTTATGGTCTGTTACATTCTGCAGCTTATAGGCCATTCCAATGAAAATCTTTTTTCTATTTTAAGGACTTTCTTTATACGGACGTCAGATTCAAATCCGTGAACGACGCAAGGAAAGTAAAGAATGCTACATATCAGTAAGGTCTTCCTTCCATCTGCTTTGGTAATACGCTGAAGGGACAGCTGTTCGAGTTCTGACAGTCGTCTGCTTCATTTACAGGCTAAATAAAACACCCAGAATCAGATTTTCAGCACCTAGAAAAAAAAATACGACATGCAATGCAAAATAACGAGAAGGAACCGGCCTAACATGAACCGGTTCTACGAAAAAAGTTTTATCCTCAATTTATTAAAATTTCTTGAGAAATTTATAGTCAGTCAAAAAATTAAAAATTCCCGCATTTTAATAAAACAATGTTCATTACAGTGTTCACAACAGCCTGCCTGTTTTCTTGTTTGTATGAAAAATGTTCTTGTTCCTTAAATTGAAGGTAAATATATAATTAACTCTCGAAATACGACACAGTTTAATGCGTGGAACGCTTATATAGTTGTAGTCTATATTTAACGACGCCCAGATTACACAGCGTTGGGTGACAGGATAATGAATTACAAAAGAATTCGGAAGGAAGCGGTCGTAGTCTTTGTTTCGGTACTAATCTTGCGTTTTCCTCATGGGACTTCGGACAATTACGAAAAAACCCAGTCATAAAAGGCGGTCTCCGGGTGAAGATTCTATAAGGCAAGCCGTCACTACGATGGACAAAACAAATCCATGAAATTGGCATGAGTTCCCGACTTTCGACAAGAAACAAAACCGCCACTGTAATTTTAACGACGTCACAGAAAGATCTCGCTCCTTTTTGCACGTGAGAGACAAGTGAAAAGATGTAGGTGTTACGTAAGCAGACTCAGGAACCCTTTGAGGGCCGAAGGTTGTCGAAATAATATTGGCAGTTCCAGTCCCTACAAACACAACGAGATTCCACGACTAAGATCAATCGGTTAATACTGTTTAACGAAAATAAAATCGCTGTTTACAGAGAGAAACATACGAAACCCAATCACGTGGGTGAGATGCAAAGTTATTGAATGTTAATGCAGGTGGTACACAGGGCTACCACTCGGATTAAAAATGTTAAAATGCGTTAAATTGTAAGCAAACAGACTCCAGAAAGACACAACGTAGGGAAGATAAGCTCAGTGCCACGTTAATCCTCACCTGGGAACGTTCTGAAATAAAGACGATAAAATTCCTCACTATGCAAATGTTACTTATCACCAGTTATTTCCTCATTCTTAGGACCATCATCAGTTGAAAATTAACCGAATTATTGTATCCAACACAACAAAGTGTCTCTTGTTCCAACACAATTCAATAATAATGAATTAATCTGGATCGTAGAAGTTCAAGCGAAATGCCCTACCTAACAAATTTACGTTGTCCATTGTTGAAATATGAATACAAAGCCCTAAACTCTGTTTCTGAAAATATATAAAGAAGAAACTCTACTGCTGCTTGTGAAAGTATGAAGAAACTAATTCTGAACTTCATTTATTATTTCCACAACTGAAAAACTTTGCTTCGTCACGCACAATAACATCGGGGCTCTACCTGGGTAACAACAAACTTCTGTGAACAGACGAATGGCATTCAGGGTGTCTATTTTGTTATTTTGCCTTGATGTCTGAGGTTCTCATGAAGACAATTTCTTAAAGCAGGGTAATCTCTCGGTGTTCACTTGGGGAACTGCTGATTCATTAAAAAAGGCTGAGCCATAATAGAGGAACTGAACTGTACAGTTCGCGCGTGCAGCAGCTGCTTGTAAGTAAACAAGTTCAACAGCTTACAGAAAGTACACTTGCCAAGACATGACAATGATTTGAATACGGTCCCAACAAAGGACGCAGAACAGTCCGTAAACAAGCAGTAAGTCAAAGGTCACAAACGAGTGGACGATCCTGCGACAGAACTATAAAATGATATTCGAGATATCGAAATAACTCCCATTCCACAATTGGAAATAAAAAAGCAGCTCAGTCTACGTTTTGTTTCCTGTGGTAAAGGGGGGGGGACACGTCACAGGTCATCTTGAAAACCTAAGTTACCCCATCTAATTGAGAAATCCCCGACACAAAGGTTCATTGCCGTGTTCACAACAGCTCGCTACCGGTCCATAACCTGAGCCAGATAAATACGCACACACACTCCACTTGCTTCGCTTAGTAAACTACAGAACGATCCATTGAAAACGCAACTAAAAATTCAACGGCAATACATTCTTGTAGCTGAGGCACTGCTTTAAATAAGTTAAGGACGCAATTTCGGCTTTTCACGCGATGAATGTGCACTTGTCACAGGCGAAAGCTTCCTGTTTCCCGATATTCTGTCCATGTCTTATTCGGCACTCCCTTGTCAGCAAACGCACTGCTGAATGTTTCACGAACAGCAGCAAACTATTCCGATGAAAAGCAACGTTCGAGAATGAACCCACGTTCTGCTCGTGTACACGTCATGTTCGCACGCGCACAGCTTCTGCGCAACTGGCACGAGCAGCGGCCTAGCAACGAGGCTGACATTGTCTCGAGTTTCATTGGATACGTTGGGAGAGTCCATTATAATTGGGTGGGACCGTTTCTGATCTCATTATCAGTGTGTGATTGTTGTGGGGTTGCGTTTTAAATGGTACATTCCGTATCATACAAATGCGTATGTTGGAATTGGTGTTAACATGAACTCTCTGTCGAGGACAGCCATGTTCTGTCGAGTTTCAGGGTCTGTCAATGTAACGACCGACTTTATTACGCGTTAATTTTTAAATAGGACATCGATTTTTAAAAAAGTTGGGACTATAATTTCACTGTACCTTCGTGCTTGTTAATGGAATTAAACGTATAAGTAAATGTTGAAGTTGGCTAATTATTTTTAATTAGGAAAATGATATTCTTCCCTGTGGGATACAATGCGGTAATAAAACTGACAGAAACTGGTGGAAATATTAATTTCCATAATTAAAAAAGTAAATATACAAACGAGTAAACGACGTTGTTTACGTAAGCGTTTCGAAACCTACTTAAATCGAGGCGAAAGCTTCAACTACAATTAAAACTTTAGCCCATTTACATACTGTGACGAGCAAGAGACGTCCGCTTATTTAGGTGACAACGAAGGTTGTGAAACGACGTCGGATGAAACCTCAAATAGCCGACTTACTGAACGACAACACTGATATTTTAATAACACAATAATTATTTTTGTAGACAAATCAATGGATTAATCCCAGAATTATTTCTGAACTAAATAAATTAAATTAATTTTTAAATACGTACAATTTATTTAAAGACAAAATGTAAAAAAAATATCGATGCTGGAGTTAATGTTTGTGACGCCGATTGTCTTCTAGGTAGGTTCCAACGTTTTGGAGAAACATACTGCCTCCATCTTCTGAGCTGATTGTATCTGCCTACAAGTTCACACCGCGACATAAACCAAAGACCAACATGGGCATCTTAAATGCCATAAAAACCTCAAACCTTACATATTTACCATCTTCATAAACTAAACTAAAAACGTTAATTTATTATGTTTCAGAAAGAACGGCCACCTATGGTATACGCACTCTAGGTTGTAAAACATGTTTAAAAGCAACAAAATGAGGTTAAGTGGATTGGATAAGACAGGCGAGACGCAAAGAATGTCTATGAATAGTGCATCAGCGTCAATTAGAAGGGACGTGGTCTTCCTCAACCCTCTTTTCTTACAATTAATTACTTGGAATTAAAAGGAATTGCGCTGAAAGTTTTTTTTATAACTCATGAAATTTATCGCCAATTACAAAAGCCGAGTACCACGCTGCATTGCCATCCTCATTGTTAAATGACACGAGAAAGGCGAGCCAGCCGCAAGAAGATGGCCAGCTTTAATCGAATTAGACAAAATTTGGATCAGACACAAAGGGGGAGACACTAGAGAACGGAGAAAATTACATAACGAGGCTTTGTCCTCTTCTCCCCAATATCGTTGCAGCATTTAATCAAGACGGACGGGTTTGGAGAGGGACACTGAGGAAACAAGAAATACACAAAACTTTTTATTAAAATAGGCACAGTTAACTTTCGGATTATGTAAAATCAAGGCATGTCGTTAAAATAACTGTCCTGTTCGAATGCTCCGCTTTCCAAATCTGGTAGAAATTTACAGATATTTCAGAGGTTCCTACTGCCTGCATCATCAGGGCTGAAGACGGAGACTGCATTTCTCCGAAACGTATCTCCCTACGAAAGTACACAGCTTCAAAACGCAGATCATCAACGCCACCTCCACCGCCGTGAAAACCTCAGATCTCACAAGGCACACATGAACTTTATGTCATAATTACTGGGTATTACTTATATAAAATTAGATCACCGAAGTACAGACATTAGAAAAGGACGATTCAAATATTATCAATGACATCGCACGTCCAAGTGCAATTATATCAAAAGTGTCTCAGTAAAGGTATTCTATGTTACCACGTTAACCGCAAACCCGCATATCCGATTTACTTACCTGTAACAAAGAGACAGCCTTCTTAGAAGAATATTTAAACCCAAGGCATGGGAAGTAACAGAACGGGGAGAATAACTGAATATAATCACATCCTGAACCTTTCGCGTGTCATTATACTGTTAGGGAGATTAATTCAAGAATGATAACATGGGTGGGGCACACAGCACGCTTTGGGGAAAATGAAAAATATACATACATTTGATGTAAAAGCCTCCAGCAAAGCGACCACGTAAGAGATATAAATATAGGTGGAATGATACTGAAATGCGTTTTACAAAAATTGTGTTCTTGTGGACTTGTTATAAATAAGAAAGAGAACACAACAGAAAATTGTCCTGAGTCAGAGAAATCCAGTTCACGCCTCACACCCTGTTACCTGCTGATATATTTTAATAGTATCCTCCCATGTACGCTTAACGTCTTCCGAGTGGTCTCCACCCTTCAGACTTCACAACCAAATATTTTGTACGCGTCTCTCATCTCTCCATGAGCGCCAAATGCCCCGTCCATTTCATCCTAAAAATATTTGGAGAAGAATATAATTTATGACGACCTCGTTCAACAATTTTCTCCAGACTCCTGCCATTTCATCCCCGGGGCACCCTGTTCTGCAGCATCCTCTGACTGTGGTCTTTACTTAACACGAGATCAATTTTCGCAACCATTAAAAACAACAGTGAAATTATTTTTTATAACAGACGGAAATGGAAAAGAAGCTGGACCAAGTTTTATCAAGTATCGCCATCAGTTGTTACTAGTTCTAAACATAAAACTAATAGAAATGTGGCAACACGCATCGAAATATTTTTCCTTTCAGCTGAGAACAATTTGTTTATTTAAACGTGGCAGTGAAATGGAACCTTTCCTAAATTTTTCATAATGTTGTTACTGCTTTTTTTAGTTTTTAGTAGATTACAATCCACAACATAAATAAAATACTACAATCATTTACTTTTTAGTAAAATTCTGTTCATCAAGCGTTAAAAAGAGTTTAAAGATGGATATATTCACGAATTTGACGTCAGCTAAAGACTCGTTAAGCCATGTACCTTTAAGTTCGGATTATTTTAAACATGGCATATGAAAAGAACACGCCATCGTGACATCCTGATATGTGATGGGTGATTAAAGTGTTGCAACAGGTTGCTGTAGTATCGAACTAGGCACAGTGGTGCAACAAACCATCACATAACTAGCGCAATGGTAACTATCTGTACCGCCAGCTTCAACAATCATATATTTATTACTTATGGATTTCGTATGATTCTAATTATAAGCAGCGTTAATTTCCTTAAACAGCATTAACCAATTTATATTTGTAATGGTTAAGTATTGTGTTTTCTTTGCGGTACGGACTGAATTATTATACAAATCGATAACAACAACGCCGATGTAAAGCGAATTCTATTGTATTGTGTTTTACACACACACACACACACACACACACACGGACAACACTGGAGGTGAAGACACTGTTTTTCCGAAACGTCGATGTATCTATCTCAAAAGTCCACACCCAGAAAACTAAAGTCGACAGATGCACCTAAGTTTCATTTTAATATTAACCTCCCACCTACGTCTCAGTCTCTAAGAAGAATCCGGATTTTGAAAATACTGACGGTAAAAATACGTCAAATGATTTCAGCACATCAAACAGTTGTTGTTCTATATTAACTGCGGAGCAGAGTTCTTTAGAAACAAATATTCACTAATTCCTCGACCACTTCCAGGCATAAGTCTTCACAGAGACCTTGACAAATTCTCGATTACCCTCATTATACATCTCCCAAAGCATTAAAACATGTTATTAAATAAATTCATTCCATAAAACAGGTTTGTTCCAACAGGGGCACTTCTCTTACGTCATATGATAATACTGGGAGACGTCTCCAAGGATATGCAAGCGATTACGTCACAGGTTGCGTCTTCAGTGGCAGCCAGAGACAATAGATTCGACGGATTGCAGAGTCTGTATTCAGCCCACGACTACAACAAAGGAAACTGCAAACAAGATCTCACGAGACACCACATTAAAAATTCTACAGTCGGTCACCTGGTAAAGTTTATCGAGTTTGCAGCAGACCGCCATTCAACCCTATCCACAACTTCATGACAGATTCTTAACATCCACTTTAATGGCATACCTCCATCTGTGCCTACACATTGCAAGACGTCGTTACCATTAAGTATTACGAACTATAATTCTGTATGTATTTTTCATCTCTCCATACATTAGTGCTACATGAACCAACACATCTCACAATCCTCCATCTATTCACCTTAACACAAATTATGAAGCTCATCATTACGTAATTTTTCTACGCCAATCCTGCTACCTCTCTCTAGGAGGTCAAACTATTTTCGTGGCTGTTAGAAAGACAACTTCTCACTCATTTCTACTGGCAAACTATTAATAAAAAACAAACAAACAGGCATCAAACACGTGGCTTACAATTTACACTGCAGATCAAAACAAATGATAAACAGTGCTGATTAGCCAGCTGGGTTTTCAGGGTTGTCCAGTGATTACCTGATAAGCGGCCTCGACAAAGGTTAAAATGTGCAGAAGAATGCAATATATGGCAAACAGGTGGTAATAAAGATATAAGTATTCTTTAATCATATCGAAATGCTGATAAAAATGTGATATTCTGGTGACACAGAATCTGATTCACGATCTGATAAAACTGTAGTGGGTTTTCCGACATTTCAGTTACGCCTGCCATATCTAGGCCACATTTTCACTGCATAAAGATATCTTAAGTATTTGGACATTGACTTCTTATGTACAACAGAAAACTTCATCCCAAGAATCTTGATAAAATTTGGCAAGGAAGTGATATCCATTCTTTCTGCTATGTTATATTTGTTTCTTGGCGTCGTGAAGAAAAATAATGATGTCATTCCGCATGATGTACTGCGCATGTGCGTGA